TAGACATCTACAGCTCAGGGTCAAAGTTCATGGACTGAATTAATACACAAGTAGTATAATTATTTTGTGAAATAGATTTCCCTTTGCAATGCAGAGTATCTACGCAGAGTAAGAGTCGCAGATGCACATTACAGGAACAGACTGTCGAACCTCCTGGCCGCCCCAAATCTGGACACCCTCTACAGCCGGTCTAAAATTTCTTTTCTTTCTAAAAGATCCTTCCGACGTGATACAGGTGGGCATATATAAAGCTGCCACGGCAGCCAACAAAATGTGCTTTTGGGTACTACTGGGTGGCAAGCCGCATGAACATGAGCTCGCGAGCTCGGTGTCCGATGAGTGCACGCATCAGCCATCTTATCCGTGTGATCGATCGTAATCCATTGTCGTCATGTCGGAGTCAAGAAGTGGAACGTGGGACAAAATTTTTAAAATGTGTCGATTTTTCATGAAGTCTGGACAAAAGGCGTCGGCAGGACACAGGACAAATTCTCTCAAATCTGGACTGTCCAGACAAGGTCTGGACGGTTGGACAGTCTGCGAATGATTGTTGAGATCAGAGAGTGCTAAACGATAGCCCTTATTATCAGGTTGAGCTACCGGTAAGGTTTGTTCGTCGAACACGGAAGTTTGGACGCAGAGTAGACTGAAAACGGCACACGCAGGGGCGAATTCCCAAGTAACAGTATGCATACAATACAGGCAGTTTGCCCCCCCCCCCCTCCCCCTAATTTACCTCTTTTCCATGGCCTGGCGGATCGATGCACTGCGATTAGTTTTAAGAATTGAAGTCTTCCTATTAAATCTACACTGCTGTAGCCTAGAATAGCAGGTGTGAACAACTCAGCACATGTACATGTAGCAAATGGGACTTTGCTCTGGGCATGGAAATTCTGTCGTTATTCGCGAATTGTCATTATATCCGCAGTCGTTATTAGCGAAGTCGACTGTAGTCAATAAAAAGCTCTTCGAAGCCTGTGATGTTCGTACCATTGACACTCGCCTGTGCCAAAATTTGGACATCGGCAATGTTACGTGTGCGTCTTGTAAATCAAACTCCTCCGCCATTGCAGACCTAGAGAGAGAGCAAGAAACAACCAGCCAGAGGCAGCGCCGAAATCGAAAGAAACGTAGTACAGCCACAGAAAGTCGTTCACAGTCCGCCGTACCCGTAGAGAGTTCACGACCCATTGATCCCGAGATGGACCTGACCATGTCGACCAGCAGTGTCAGATCCGACGTTGACAGCTCAAACAACAAGCCGTCCAACTCCCGTACACATGGTTCACCCGGACCCAGCTCGGAGTTGACCCCGCCACGTGTGGATCGCTTGCCGAAATTTGAAGAGATGAGTGAGGATTCGGACGCCACATGGCGACTCATCACCTCCACCAAACCGACAGCGAAGAAGAGAGTCCTGTTTGTCGGAAATCTGATGCATGCAATTACTGCAGACCAGCTGAAGGAGTTTATCGCAGCAAGAGCAGCTGAGGCTGACCACAATGTCCAAGTGTTTGACGTAAAAATATTTCAAAAAGAAAAATCCTCCACTGCGCGTATTGTTGCCAGTGCAGCGGACGAATCGTTTCTCAGCAACAAGCGCTTCTGGCCAAGGCCTGTGTACACAAGAGAGTGGAACTTCGATAAGTACACCCAGTCTGATGCCAGTGGAGATCAACAAACAGCGCAGAGCAGCACCACGACCACCAACAGCAGCAGCAGCCCCACGGACGACAGTAAGAGCGGATACAGCGTGGATTGCGATATCCTAGATGACACCTGTGGAGCACCGGCCCGGACTCCAGGCCAGAAATCACGGGGCTATCAGCGTGACTCGCCGCCAGAGACGCAAGCTGCGAAGTTTAGTGTCACTGTTGGCAACGCATTTGCATCTCTAAGTCAGGATGTGGATAATATATCTGTGCAATGACTGGAAGAAGATTAGGCAACGACCCTGCTGCTCATGAACTGAATATCCTGTCCATCAATATCAGAAGCCTGCGCCACAAACTGCGTGATGTTCTGGATCTTGCTGAAGGAACAAAATCTGACATACTTGTAATTTGCGAAACATGGCTGGACTCATCCGTCACTCCTGGCGATCTCCACCTCCCAGGCTATAACTTAGAAAGGCTAGATCGCAGCGGAAATGTTGGTGGTGGTGTCTGCATCTATTGGAAAGCTGAACTCAACTGCCAACCCAGGCCTGATCTCGTTTCTCCAGGCATAGAATGCTGTTGGATTGAAGTGAAAACCAGCCATCAGCCATGCCTGATTGGGAGCTTATACCGGCCACCAGGGTGCACTGTTTCATACTGGGACTCCTTTGAAGCCCTGCTGAGTAAAGCCTGCAGCCCAACGACGCAGACAATACTTTGTGGAGACTTTAATGTTGACACCAGTCGCAATTGCAGTAATCATATGCGGCTGGCTGATATTGCTACAAGTTATGGACTGCAGCAGCATGTACGCAGCCCCACTCGTATTGGACTAAGAGGACCACCAACTACAATTGACTTAGTATATAGCACAATGGGATGTGCTTCTCCTGCTACGACTCATGCTATCTCCTTCAGCGACCACCATGCTGTGACAACCCCTTTCAACATGGTTCCAATTCGAATTCCTCCTGCAGCTCCTGCACAGACACGGAACATCAGACGTATCAATATGGACCTGTTTCGGCAAGATATCCAGTGTGCTAACCTGTGCTCCATGAAGGGAACCTGTACCGAAATGTGGACCCAGTGGCACGAGTGTCTCATGTCACTCGTAGATCAACATGCACCACTCCGGCCTCGGAAGCACCGTGCCCACAATGTCGCACCATGGTATACCTCGGAGCTCGCAGCGCTTGTACGCAGGCGCAATAAACTGCATCGTAAGTGGCTGAGAACCAGACTTGATGTGGACTACCGCAGCTTCCAGCAGAGCAGACGGGAGGTTACCCGCACTAGCCGAGCACTGAAGGAACAGCATTACAATGAAGCATTTGTGAACGCTACAGGGAACCCAAGGCAGACTTGGCGTGTATTGAATCAGCTGAGCGGACGGCAGCCAGTCCACACTCTTCCCAAATGCTCCCCGGATGACATTGGTAATGTGTTTGCAGGCATTGTCAATGATCCTCAACGTCCCCCAGCCTTGACTCTACCTCAAGGCCCCATGTCTCCGAACAGCCTTTCAATCTTTAAGCCTGTTACCATTGCCCGTGTGCGTAAGCTCCTATCGTCAATAGCCATGACAAAAGCTACTGGCAGTGATGGCTTGCCCGGAACGATTCTTAAATCATGCGCTGACCTTCTTGCACCCTCACTGATGCTCATCTTCAACAAATCATTGTCCGAAGGCCAGCTGCCACCGAACATGAAAATCGCCAACATCACTCCCGTCTACAAAGGTGGTGACCCCAGTCAACCCACCAACTATAGACCTGTCTCTTTGCTCCCTATAGTCTCCAAGCTGCTTGAGCGTATCGTCCATGAGCAACTCAGTCAATACCTGGCTGAACATAATCTTTACCCTTCCTGTCAATTTGGCTTCAGACGCCAGCACTCTACAGAGGATGCTCTCACAATGGTTACAGACAAATTCCTAAGAGCCCGAGATGACGGGCTGTCAACTGGCGCTGCTTTCCTGGACATGTCAAAGGCCTTTGACAAGGTCCAGCATCAGACACTTGTCGAAGACCTATTCCAGCTTGGAATCTCCGGCACAGCCCTGAACTGGTTAAGCGACTACCTCTCAAATCGTCAACAACAAGTCGTCATCAGCGGCGATAGTAGCTCATCTTTCACGTGCTCAAGTGGGGTTCCCCAAGGGTCTGTACTGGGACCACTATTGTTTGTCATATATGTCAGGGATGTGGCCAGTGAAGTGGATCAGTTTGCCGTCCAGGTAACCCAATTCGCGGACGACATCATGCTACACGATAGCAGGAAGGACAAGGTAGTGCTGTCACACAACCTGTCTTCAGCCATCACCCATCTCAGCAACTGGCTTGGTGAGCGCAACCTAATCCTGAATAGTCGAAAAACACAAATATTGTTTATTCCTGCCAATCGTCATGACGACAAGACATTGAATGTGCACTGTGCAGCTACACTCCTCCAGCAAGTGACAAGCGCCAAGTACCTGGGCTTGCACATCGATGACGACCTGAAATGGAACACAATGGTTGACCATATAGCCAAGACAGTGTCCTCAAAGATTGCCATTCTCTTCCGCCACAGGCAGTGCCTCCCAATGCCATGCCGCTCAACCTACTTGAGATGTATAATTTTACCCACATTCCAATACGCATGCAACAGCTTTTCCTCTTCCCTTTCCTCTGCACAACGTGATCGTCTTGAGAAACTTCTCAAGCGAGCTGTGCGTGTTGCCTGCTCTGCTCCGTTCCTGTCTCCAACTGCCCCTCTTTTTGAACGCCTCAGCATTCAACCCCTGCAATCAATGTATTGCCGCAAACTCCTCCTGCTAACATTTCGTGTAATTCATAATAACTGTAGTGTGCTTCTTCATGACCTTGTCACACCTCTGTCACACACCCGTCGAACGAGGAGCACAGATGTTCCCCTGCTTCTTTTCCCGAGGATCATATCTGCCGCTGCCACACGCAGCCCTTCATATCAATGTCCCGCTCTCTGGAATAAGTTGCCTGCATCTATACGATCACTGAAGAAACCAGGTCAATTCCGGACCGCTCTCTTACCCCACCTGAAAAATTCACCGACTTACGTTGCTCACTGATCAAATAATTATGCAATCTTTCCTCTGCTAGCTAGCTGCTGTCTTAAATCCTACTCTTTTTTTCTATTTTCTTTTTTTTCTTTTTAATCTTTTCCTTACATTTGTGTGCCTGTTTGTCTTTAGTCGATCTCATGTAATAAGGCAACACTGCCTGTTTGTTATTCGACGTTAAATAAACCAATCCAATCCAATCCAATCCAAAAGAACATAGCTATCACAGGAAACGCATACAGACGGCAGAAAACCTAAAATAAGGTGGTACCAGCAAGATTCAGACGGGACAGAGATACAGATTCTTGAACAGCACATTTGCACTGCGAGTAATAAGTTTACATAACAGCCGTGTACATTGACGATGGCACTAAGGCCTCACGAATAAAATAACAGGAAATGCGCTAGATATAAGGTGGCAGCGGGTGGAGACAGAAGCAGAAGCACTATATACAAGCTTGGGATCTACAGAAGTGACTCAACAAACACACGTGCAAAACAAAAGACACCTACCTCAACGCTAACACAATTTAGATTCTCACTCACAAACACAAACGTACACACACACGCACACACACACACGAAACCGTCGCTGTATACGACATACACATCAACTCTATTATCGCACAGCAGCAACTGAATAAAACTTAAGGCCTTTATACAGGTTCTGGCTTGGGTCCATAGCCCTGGCTCAAATGTACACAGGCATACGCCAATAAAAATCCTCCGAGCGGACTAATATAAAGTGAAAGCGCAGGAAAGGAGCATAGTTAAAATAAAGCAATACGTGGAAATGAGCATCCTTCTGCAAGTGGCTCAATGTGAAAAGCAACATCCTGTGTTGATGAAAAAGACTAAGCGTATGTGCAAAACATCCCAGCGACATCCTAACTCTCGGTCTATACTCACGTGGAGTGCAGACCCCCCTAGAAGAAAACTACGCCACATAGTTGTACTCGTTGGCGTTGTCTTCATTACGGACAATGTAATCACGGTCGATAAGATTTTCAATTCGTTTCTTGAGGTCCGTTGCCTGAACACAGAGCAATCAAGCAACACGTTACACCGTTTGCGAACAGACCATCGTGCTTCAATACATAGATATCTTTTATTAAATGAGAAACTTTTTAAAGTGATTCTAAGTTAGTCTAACCTTGCTCAAATTTAAACAAAAAAGTGATTCAGATAACCAGATCGAAGAGAAATGCGCAGCTGACAGGGACTCAGGAAATTATCAGTGACTTTGATCCATTGGAGAGAAGAAGCGGTTGCGTGATGCATTGCACTCGCAAGACCTCCTTATTCTCCCAGTTGCCTAAACCGCTTTTTGTACTGCGCCAAAGATCTGGATCTTACTCCGGCTTCTTAATCTATACTATATTATCCAGTCGTGAGTCAGTCAAGTGTCAAGTAAAGTCGGCGGAATAGCGCGAGCTCCGGTGTGGGGAGCAAACCCTTTTCTTATATTATCCTCTCCATTCTATCTCCCTTACGTGCCTGTTTTTTCTCCCCTCCCCATTCTCTTTCTGCCCTCTCCTCTTATAAGTCGTCTCTTTGGGAGAAGGCACCATTGCTTGTTTGGTCGAATGACTATAAATAAAAGCACAACATGTACCTTATACACACATCAGTCAACCTGTACTCAGTTCACCTTCGAGGGAAAGCGAGCTACACACAACAACATGCTATGTGTGACCTCAGTGCACCAAGGTTCTCACACTGTGAATAACGTAGTTGCACTCTGTCATGCGATTTCCCTTTCCCTGGCTGTAAAAGCAAGGTGGGGCACTCTCGCAAGCTGGGGCGCTCTCTTGGTTATTTTTACGGTACAACACCAGAGATAGTTACTTGCAAGTTGAGTCACGGATAACGGAAATTTCCAAGCACATAGCTTCACCCGAGTGGTGTTGGGATCTCGGGAGTGAGCGGCGAAAAAATTGGAACACGAAATCGCTCGAATAGGACAGGATTGCGTGCAGTTCGAGCATTTTCGGCACCATCGCTGCTCACCAATACTGGGCATGTCGTATCATTGTCATCACGTATGGCTTCATTCGTTTCCTCTCGCAGGGGGTGAAGAGACTTACCGAGGGTTCCCAAGTCTGTGAAAGTTGTTTGAGTAGGAGTCACAGGAACATAAAAAATATTTAAGTCAGATTTTAGTGATTATCCTAGGGCTGTCAAAGGGTTTACAGAACAACATGCAAAGCCAGCCATACACGTCTATACAACGGTATCGACCAAATTTGACCGGGTCGATAAAATTCCTCGGATTCTAATCCAAATTCCTACAGTAACTTAACACCTAGGCATTAAATTTAAGGTTGCATGTTGCTGCTGCTGAAAGGCAAACATGGACCTCGCTTTTCTACGCCAAGTTTTCTACTTGCTGCTGGCACACCATGAAAGCCAATATTCACTGGTTTGTCTGACAAGTCAACAGTGAGAGAGAAAAGATAGACAGAGTGAACAGAGACAGAGGCAGCTGCAGTGCACCAGCTACCATTTGCAGCAGTCTTTCTTTATTATTTTCGAGCTGGGAGGGTGACCATAGTGAGCAAAAAAAGAAGAAGAAAAAAGGTGACCAGCGCAGTGAACACCAACCACTACTCTTGTCCCATTGTGATACAGTAGGTATGGAGTTATGAAAAAACCCTGGACCTAGCCATACGGAGAAGGATGGTCAACTAACCTTGACTGGAAATTTCAGTTGTCCAAAACACTCCGAGACCAGTTCATTGTGCGGCAGTGTTTTCCGGCTCTTCATGATGCGAACAATGGCAGCGTCAATCTACAGCAGATATCAGCATGCATACAAGGCAGGAATGATGCGAACAATGGCAGCGTCAATCTACAGCAGATATCAGCATGCATACAAGGCAGGAGTTCAGACGGAGAAGTTTCAAGTACTGTATAAGCAGAAATATTCGTCTGGAATTTAATTTCGTCTTTTTCGTCCAAGGAGCTTTGGGACTAAATAAATGCCGGACTACAATGTAATGTCGATTTGTCCAGCTTTTCAATACACTCTTATGATCCATGGACGAAATTTACAACCGGATGAACTCCCTTTCTTTGGAGTTGGACGAAATTATCGACCGACGAAATTTTCTGCCTGTACAGTAGTGCACAATATGATGATCGAGTCAAGATCAAAGGAGGGGGTGACCCATACAATGCAATGTTGGCTGTTCAGTCATCACCCAAAACAAAACATTCTGAACATCGTAATGCTTGTGAAAGGAGCATGCCTGACGTGCGTACTTCCATGCAAAAGTAAGATAATATGGGAGTTGACAAAAGAAAACATCTTGGAGTGTTAAAAATTGAGCACACCACTTTCTTGGCCAGTTTACGATTAGCCCAACTTAGTTCTAAGACTCAGCAAACTATGCTGTAAATAATGTGTGTGTGTGTGTGTGTGTGTGTGTGTGTGTGTGTGTGTGTGTGCACGTGTGTATGCGTTTGTGTGTGTGTGTGTTGTGTTACGTGTAAGTGTGAGAAGCCTCACGTTTAGCAGGGGCGGATCCAGAGATCTCTACAGGGGGTGCAGTTTAGCCAAAACTGAATAGCTAATACCGTAAAGTACCGCCAGAGCGCCCCGTCTCGCGAGAGCGCCCCACCTTGATTTTACACCCAGGGGAAGAAAATCGTATGGCAGAATGCTACTAAGTTTGTACGATGTGAGAACCTTTGTGTACTAAGGTCACACTTGGTATGCTTTTATGTGGAGCTCGAAGGTAAACTGGGTACGGATTGACTGCACAATGTGCAATGTTTGTACAAGGTCCGTGTCGTATGACCTACAGACAGGAATCCACCTCCATAAGGCGACCACGAAAGGACGAGATGGTGGGGCGCTCTGGCGGTACTTTACGGTACATGTATATGAACATGCAAACTCGGAGGGAGTTGTGGTTGCTCGTGAGAGTGCTCAATACACCAAGGTGCAGAGCCTAGTACACACACTTGAGAGGGACGAAAAGCGTTTCTTCTGTAACTCTGAGTTTCACGGTTTTAACCGATCATCAGACAGCAACTTGACTACAATTTTCAGAAGATAAGATTGATATAGGCTGCAAGCTTGGATCATAGCGCGAATGGATGATCCGGGCTGATGGTGTAATTGTAAAAATGCGTGAGTTGGTTGATGGGGTGCAAAAATAGGCGCAAAAAAAAAGAATACACTTTAGGCCTAGGCTCATGCGACCACATGTTCTTCTGAGGGAGGCAAGAAGAAGGACAATTCGGTAATTATGAGCAGCACATCACCTGCGACTGCGAGTGGTGAGAAGGTTATGTGACGGCTGATGGTGAGAATTTTGAGAGGTAGTACTTATTTTCATGCCTGCACTTGCTAACTAGCTCCGATCTTTTGTTGATGTTGACACGCTTGTCCGCCTGAAGGATCTCCAGCTTCTCTCTTAGGCACAGAGGACAGCGCTTGGTTATGTTACTGTAACCTGGAGTCTGGGCGATAACTGACCAACCAAGACTGTACTCGCTGTTTTGACGCTTCAGGTTCCAGACACACTTTGATAGTTCTGTGCTCTTCTCATGTCTCTCATGTCTGAATGATGTCAGATGGTTGCCGTATCTCTTCTTGAATTCTGGCTCCGTAAGGCCGATATACTCCTTCTGTCTGTCCTCTCCGGTTATTTGGACGGTTGCCTTGTACACAATAGAGCTGATTTGGCAGTTGCCGTCCATCGGACACTGCGCTTTGTCTCTGCAGTTGCATCGTCTTTCCTTGGGCTGTCCATCGTTGTTTCCACTTTTCCGTTTAACTGAGTTGTTGTGTGACTTGACCATTGCAGACATATTCGGCATACAACTATAGCTTACTTTAACTGTATTCCGGTTGAAGATCTTGTGTAGTCTGGATCCGGCGGGGAAGTGTATTTCGATTAGTCGCAAGAATCTCTGTCCGATGTTTGTGGCCACTGTCTTGCTGAATGGCGGGTTGTACCAGATGATATTCCGCCGCCTGTTTTTCTTTTTCTTGCTTGAATCCTTGTCTCTCTCTTCCAAGTACTCTAGTCCTTCAGCATAGCCACTGTTCCTAAGCGCGCTGTTGTATAGCGGTGCGGCTTCTCTGAACGCATCTTGGTTTGATGAAATATCGGTTAGCCGCCTACTAATAGCTTTCGGTATTTGCTTGATGATTGTTGGCGGATGGTTCGATTGGCTGTGGACATAGACCGGTGTATCGTTCGGTTTTCTATACGGACGATATGTTCCGTCTGCTAGGTTCAGCGTCACGTCCAGAAAATTCACAACCTTCATACCGGTGTCGATGGTTAGTCGTAGTCCGAGGTTGCTGAATATCTTGCAGACTGTCTTCCTCATTCGATCTGCTTCGCTGCCTGTCACGTCTCGTAGCACTGCTAGGCCGTCATCGCGGTACAGTCCGACGTCACTGCTGTTGATTTCGTGTGCAATCTTAGACAGTGCATACGTCCCAACTAGCTCGCATACTTCGGCACCGTCGAAGCATCCCATCGTGACGTCGAATAGTCCCCTTCCGTTCTTCTTCATCCAAGTATTGTCTCCACTGAATAATATGAACATGCATATGTTTTCCAGTAGTAATGTTATTATTAGAAAGGTTCCGCACTATGTAAAGTTGAGCAACTTTACGTTACTGTAAGACATGTTATTATAACGAGTTGCAAATTTAACGATTGTCCAAAATTCATAGGTTAACGAGAAGATATGTTAACGATCTTGCAGTATTCTGCCATATCCACACACAGCATATATGAAGCAGTACGGCCGCAACGGATCTTATTATAACGAAGAAATGTCATCCGTTAAAACGTTAGATTTGCTTCCTCGTTATATATACATGTCTTACAGTAGTGGGAGGGAAAACCCGTGAATTCGCGAGTTTGCACTCCACTTACGGAAAGTTGTCGTAGAGTACGTAGATAGGGCTCTGATAACGTAACTGGTCCGTAAGTGGATTGGGGTACAAATTTATGACTCTCTGGCCAGGTCGATCTGGTCGTACAATGCCGCGTTCGGAGTTGCCAAGGGCAGCTACGTGATTTGAAAACTCCGTATGGCGGAACACAGATGCGCATGCAGTTTACGTTAGACTTTCCGTAGATAGACTAACCCTTTGAGGCCCATAGTACGGATATATCCGTACCAGTGTACAGTGCATACTTTTCAAAGCGCCACCTGGCGTAACTCGACTGTCCCTTGACCAAATCGGACAATCGAAAGGGCTATCAACATTAGAATTGTCTCAGCTATCGGCTCGAAAAAACCGAAAGGGCTATTGACATTAGAATTGTCTCAGCTATCGGCTCGAAAAAACCCGAAGGCGATCCGAGATACAGACTCGAATTAAATTCGCTCAGCAGAGTCAACTCGAGCGCGTGCATTTTGAACTCGTTTTAGGGGTTTTCCCTGACTTGCGGCCCACACAGCTACAGATAGTTCAAGTCATCGCAAAGGCATGTTTCTCAGCTCTCCAGTAAAAAAATTGAGCGATCTGCGATGCAATTTATTGAAATGGCAGAGAATTCGAGTTGGGCGCTCGCAATGCTGGCTTTGGAGCGCCGTATCGCGCTGCAAAGCTGGTTCTGTGGATCGAGTGATGGATTGCTGGCTATCGCTGTGTTTCTCTGACCAAAAGCTTTCCAGAAAGCCCAAGATCAACAAAATCGGCCAAAGGACACCAAAGTTACGATCAGATAAGTAACTGGGCTCGCGTATGCAGTGCATTTCTTGAAATAATTGTGGGCCCTAAAGGGTTAAAGGGGCCATCCAAAATTATTGATCTTTTTCACGAAGAGAAAAAGTTTCGTTCATGGGTGGGTCAGTTGAGGAGAGTTTCGTTATGAAAATATTGATAGCTGACACATCAGTCCATTCTAGCTGTCAAGTCAATATATTTTCGTTCATGGGGGTGGGTGGGGGAGGGTCAAAACTAAACTTTTTCGTTTTGTGAAAATTACCGATAATTCGGGATGGCCCCTAAGTACGTTACCAAGAGTAGATAAACCAGAGTGTGCAACTGTGCATATCAGATCTGAAACAGCGCAGTTCGTGCACTACGTCACCCTGATCAGGTCAGCCAAGCTGCGACTTGCGTACAGCTCAAATTTTCATGTTTCACAGTCCGGAAATCAGCCAAGTTTGCATGATTTAGACGTCCTGTTTTAACCCTTTAAGAGCCACAGGAAATTTTCAAAAATCTGCATTTTTTCATGTTCCTCGGATCATAGCTTCAGTTCTACTCACTCAATCCTCACAATCTAGGGCTTCCTGGAAAGGTATTCGCGAGAGGAAGAGAATGAGGTCGATCATGATAGCCAGCACACCGTCTATCCAGCGCTAGATCGCAGCGACAGTACGAAAAATGCCCCAAATGCGTCCAATTGCGTCCCGCTCCAGATATTTCATTCTACTCGATCGTGGAGTTCCAATTTTTTTGCTGTGTACCCTTGACAATATCAACAGTGAAACCCGTGCAAATTCGAGTAAACCAGCGTGACGAAAAGTCTCAAAAATCTCAATACTAAAGTTGCACTGCGCGCTTTTGAAATTGCCGCGATCGCGGCTCAACTTACGAGTGATTTATCTCGGGAACCGTTGCTTGCAGCGCTTCGCGGATTGTTTCTCCCGACAGGTGAGAGTTTTCTCTTCGCCCTGGATATTTCGATCGATGGATTTGAGCGAGATTAGACTGAGTTACGATCTTTTGAAGTTTTGCATTTGAATGCGTCGTTTACGACGCATTCAAGTATGGGGCGGCTCTTAAAGGGTTAAGATGTCGGTGTTTTTATGTGACTGCATACGCTGTGTACATGCGCTGGCAAGTAAATTCACCATGCTATCCGTCTAAAAAAAACGAAATCAGGACAAACTCAGTGACCTGCACCACTGTGACTGGTTACGCAACTTTTCACCGTACCTGTGGCTTACCATGCCGTCAGAAATGACGTACTGCACGAATTACGCTCCCACAGGAACTATCCCGAGTTGCACACTCTGGTTTATGTACTCTTGACGTTATGCACACTCTGGTTTATGTACTCTTGACGTTATATGTATGCGGAACTTATCCATTAATAATTTTAGGGGGTCCCCCTCACCCATCAGCCACTGCTTAGGACACCGATGAAACAGGTTGGGAAGACATTTGTACTGGGGTCAACGAAGAAGGAGAGATAGAGATAGCTAGCTAGCTAGAGAGTGAGTGAGAGTGAGAGAGAGTGAGAGATGGAGATAGATAGAAAGAGAGAGAGAAAGAGAGAGAGAGAGAGAGAGAGAGAGAGAGAGAGAGAGAGAGAGAGAGAGAGAGAGAGAGGGAGAGAGAGACGCATAGATAGATACATAAACACAAAGCATAGATCCCCTTGGCTTGCCATAGATCAGAGAGTATGACTGACCTGATACTGTCTATCCAGAATGACTTTTTCGGCAGTGGTATTGTTCTCTTGTTGCTATGCAAACAAAGCCAAGGACAATAACATATTCATACATATTCATACATGTACGTCAGTTGGTTTACACTCTAATGGAGAGCCAAGGATTAAAAGAAAAGAAAAGAGAGGACCATAAGTTTACAAGTTATCCGTTGTGTGTGTGTGTGTGTGTTTGTTGTGTATAATCGTTAGTTGAATAAACAATAATTATAATGTAAAGGGAAAGGGTTTGCTCCCACACTGGAGCTCGCGCTATTCCGCCGACTTGACTTGACACTTGATATTATAATGTGCTCAAACAAAGCTACAATGTCATGATTGGAGGTTACAAAAACTACAAACATCAGCAAGGGTGCAAGGGTGATTACATTGCCGCAATTGTGTGAAAGCAGTGTAAACGAAAGTTGAGAGTGAAAAGAATCTAAGTGTACAGTGTGAGAAATGTGACAGACCGTCGAAAGCAAAACGTTTATGAATCACATTTTTTATACATTTTTAATTTCATGATTGTTTCATGGTAGTATGTCGGCATCAATTGTTCTATTTATCTCATTGTTAAAACTCCTTTTTCCGAAACGCCCGTTTGTATAATCGTTAGTGTTGGACAAAACAGATAACTTGCGAACTTATGGTCCTCATGGTTGAATATGGTGGTAAAGACACACCTGGCAATATGGCAGTAAATATATAATATGGTCCTCTTTTTCTTTTTTTTTAATCAGTTGTTTTGAGTGTTTTTTTAGGGTTACTATGCGACATCCAGCGCAAGGCACAAGGTTTTTCGTGACATAAAGTGAGTCGAGTGTCACTGGAACTGAAACATTTCCCAAAGAAAATGCTCTGTCACACGAGGCCAATCCGTGAAATGTAGCATTTGAGCTTCTTTTAGTAAAGCATTACCAGCGTGCTGCACAATGAAATCAGATAAAGTGAGTCAAGTACGTGCCGGATGCTGTGTAGCTCTAGACCTGTGAACACTGGGATGATCACTGGTGCAGGGCGCAAACTGGACTCACACGATCCGATCTCATTGAGCGGCACAGCAGCACAGGAGAGTAGCTGCTGGTCTGGCTGGCCTGGCTTTGACCACAGCACTCGCTTGTCAGCTAAGCAAGCATGTCGTGATACACGTGACAGTAAAGGTGAGATTAAACCTAGCATGAAGAGTCAATAGTGCACCTGCATTGGCCTCTCAATGTTTACCATTCTTACTTTCCCAAGGAGGCCAGTGCCTTGGTGCAGGAGCTCAAGTCGCCTGCTGATCAATATGCGAACAAAAGTCGGTGTATGGAGTCTTGTACAGCTGCACAACTACTTCAGCGGGAACTTGGGTAATTTGTATTTTGTACCTGTATCTATTCAACATGCCCTGGCTCGTCAAACAACTGCCAACAACAAGTGAATGTGGCATGAATGCTGTGCAGCGTTATGCAATGCTGCCGCCAAGTACGCCTGTAACTATCATAGCACGTTTTCTTGTTGCAATTGAGATTTCAACCCGGGCCAAGCCCTCAATACATCATGTAAGATCAGACCCGCTACAAAGTGGTCAATGACTGAAAATCCATTAAAAAATGCCATTCGATCCGGCAGCCAGATCCAGAGTATGAAGGCTCATTCTTCAAACGCCTTGCTTGCGTCTCACTTGCTGCCCTGCACAGTCGGCCAATCCCCCCCCCCCCACACACACACACACCCGTTCATCGCTTACCGTTTCCTTCATCTGAATCTGATTGATCTTGATACGGAACAGCTTGTGACTGAAGTCCTTGTTGAAGCGGAAAACATCACAATCATTCACCTCCTTGCCCTGAAACCGAACGCAAAGAACCAAAGCCGCATCACGAGGGAAACGAGTCAGATACAGCATACGGTTTTACACTCCTTGTGACATTAGTTCATACGCAGAATGATATATCCAAGGGACTTGACCGAACAAGATGAAACATACAGTACCTTGGGTTCCTTGGTGATAACACGGGCTTTGCCACAAGCCAATGATTGCAGTGTTCGTTTCAACTCGGCAGCCTCTGCGCCAATATAGGAAGACGAGAAGCATGCACATGCATATGCACACACACGCACACACGCGCGCGCGCGCACACACACACACATGCCACAGCTGTGAAGTGAAACCTCCATACTCCCAAACAATCAGTCAAGGCTCAAGCTGACATGTTACTCGGTGAGTAGTGAGTACTCAAATTGTGGGTTATATTATTGTCTCCACGTCGACGTTTTTCAACAAAAATGTGAGTCTATGCAGTAGTAGATCAGCTGGAACCCCTAAGAGTACATTCAGACTAGCGTGTACATACAGCAGTACGGCACAAGGCCATACATGTAACTTATGAAGCAATGTTCGGCAACTGCGGCAAGATTTCTCTCTGCCTTTGCTGCACTTGGGCCAACGAGGGGCTTCAAAAGCACACCGCCTACTACAGAGATGAGGGATGTTGGATTACAGTCCGTGCAGCAAGGCTGCAATGCACTGCAATAACATAGTCAATGGTGTTTCCGCACATGTAGTCCAGGAGGCGAAGGGCAGACTTACTTTGGGGGAGATTAGGCTAGAAAAAACATATTTGCTATGAAAACTAAAGTTTAGCATGTTGCTTTCTGTGTGAACATCACTGACAATGAGATCAGTGAACGTAGGAGACACTTGCACACTCTAGGAGGGTGCAAGAACAGCAAGGGTCATGTGACCTTTGTGTTGTGAAGAGAGGGGATGTAGGCTCAACTTCAACAGTGACTGTATCACCTTGCGCTCAACCCAACAGGCGATGGCCCATTCAGCACACAATGGTTGAAACGCCTTCCAACATGGCTAGCATACTATGGCGGAGACTATCAACAGGTTCAGCATGCAATGAAAAGAGCAAGATGAAATGATAACAAGACGTACAGCAAGTGCACTAACCAATTCCTGTTCTTTGCTGGATGTGCCCAAAAGTGATTGTGTCAGACTGGTTGAACAAACACAATACCAGTGTCTGAAATAGCGACACTTGTAGCTCCTTCTTTCCCTGCAAGCACCGTACATTTACACCGTGACAAAGAGAAGAGAACACGAGACATTGTAGACACGTAAGCAAACCCTGAATACACTGCAGAAAAAGCGTCATTGTGTAAAGCTCCACAAAGAGATGTACCGATCTATAGTCAAACCTAAGCCAAACCAAGCCAACAACTAGACAAAATTACTCAGTTCAAGTTTTTTTTTATTATTTGTCGAAGAAAAAACCAGCAAATTTGCCTAATTACATGATAAGTAATGAGTAATAGTTCTGAAAAGCGCAGGGGCAGTACCCGTGCTAGCTTGAGTGTTATCATATGATCTAAATGAGGACTAGGCACGTAATAATGAACAATACCGTATTGAACGTTGCCTTGAGAACACAATGACCCAATGTGTTTTGCCACGTAAGCTTGCGACCTGATCGTTTGCTAATGTAGAATTTACAAAAGGCATCCTGCAGCTTGACCATCTAGAGAGATGAAGAGGAAAGAGAGAGAGAGAGAGAGAGAGAGAGAGAGAGAGAGAGAGAGAGAGAGAGAGCGAGAGAGAGAGAGCGAGAGAGAGAGAGAGAGAGAGAGAGAGAGAGAGAGAGAGAGAGAGAGAGAGAGAGAGAGAGAGAGAGAGAGAGAGAGAGAGAGAGAGAGAGAGAGAGAGAGAACCAGCCATGACAAGATACTATTGAAGATATACACAACACAGATCATGGGTACCAATAGTATTTGATAGCTTTATGTTTTTTTAAGCTGTAGACATGACTTTCATGAAGCCCTTTACTGAAACTGAAGGAGTACTTTTTTCAGCTGTTGCTGAAGTGCAATAGTGCAAAGAGAATGAAAGCACTATATCTACTACTCGTATTATCTAGCATAGGACTACCAAAAGGCTGGTTGCCTTTCAAGGGGTTCACTACATGGAAGGATTTATATTGGTATGAGTAAAAAATAGTGCAGCAAGAATTCGTTGGCGAATGCAGTGCTTGCTGTAATAATGAATGTGGACTGGGTTAGGCCTATTCGGTGTCTCACATCGTCTCCCTGTATGCTACAGTGGTCCCTCTTTAATCCAGCACTTTATAAACCAGCACAACTTTCAGTATCCAACGTGTCCTCTTTGTGTACATTGCAGCAGAAAATCAGATTTGTTAATCCAGCACCCTCCCTAATACAGCAGAATTTCCCTGGCACAAATGGTACCAGATTATAACGGGCCCACTGTTCAACTAGGCTACTGCTCCATAGGCATTATGCACGTTGTACAGATGCACGAAATCCCGTAGAATGTCGTAGAATAGCGTAGACCCGGTTGGGTGTTGAATGTGCAGGACCCTATTGTGTTTTCTGCTATTTCCACTGAGAAATGGGCCCTGAAAGCATTTCATACGACACCTTTTTTTCTGACAAAGATCTAGCTAGTCATTAGTTCTAACCAAAGTGAAGAAGCTGGAAAAGCAAATGTTTGCCATTAATTATGAGGCTAAAATTGGTCAAATCCGCATGCATAGCACACAATGAACACCCAGCCGGGTTTGTACACACCTTCGGCCCTAGTACTGAACTTCGTACATCTGTACAACTGGGCTACTGCTCCATTAGCACAATCATGATGCATACCTGTGGTAAGAGGTTGACGTTAGATGAAGGAAACGTAGGCCAGTGACCCATTGTGAGGATGTTGACAGACAGTTCTATGTCAGTATCGAGTCGACACGCCACCTAACACATAGAGCCAAGAAACAAATACATTCAGATCATATGTTACCGCAACAAGCTAAAGGAGGACAAGAATTTTTTTAAGCCCGAGAACTGTTTTCAGAAAATGCAAAATCGCAGTTCCTGGACATATTTCTCCGACAATAAGTTGAACAACTCCATCATTTCTAGGTCGATTATCCCAATCCTGGGCTTCCTGGAAAGCTCTATCCATAAGGAATACATCTGTAGAAGATACGACGAGCAGCAACGTAAATGTACAGTGAGCAAAGCAAGCGTACGCGCCAGGGTCATGTCAATTGTGAGCAAAATACTCTTCGCGATGCAATTCCCTCAAATTTTATCGCAAAGCGCTGAGATTACTGCAAAGAAGTCGGGATGCCCGTAGCCTGATTGCGTCATAGCACCTGACTGGCTAGGCACGTGCGAAAATGGGAAAATCCCCAGCTGAAGTACATTTACACGCTAAAAAAACAGCTTGAGACGTGATTTTTCGGTCGAGCGTCATAACTCCACTCCAGGACCTTGGACCGCGTCCGGGTTTCTTTGCGACGACAGCTGAGAGTTTTCTAATGCCGATACCAAGAGTACATAAACCAGAGTGTGCAACTCGGGATGGTTCCTGTGGGAGCGTAATTCGTGCACTACGTCATTTCTGACGGCATGGTAAGCCACAGGCACGGTGAAAAGTTGCGTCACCAGTCGCGGTGGTGCAGTTCACTGAGTTTGTCCTGATTTCGGTTTTTTGAGATGGATAGCCTGGTGACTTTACTTGTCGGTGGATGTACGCAGCGTACACAGTCACACAAAACACCGAAATCCTGAAACAGGACGTCTAAAATCAAGCAAACTTGGCTGATTTCCGGGCTATGGAACATGAAAATTTGAGCTGTATGCAAGTCGCGGCTTGGCTGACCTCATCATGGTGACGTAGTGCACGAACTAGGGCTGAAACAATTATACCGATAACTCGCATATCGATCGTTAAGAGTGCAGTCGATAATCGTTAGTGTTCAAAACGAGTGCTAACGATTTTTATGCATGCATATCAGTGACAGTATTCTAGCCCTTGGACTCCATCCGATAGTGAATACGAGTACAATCAGGGTATATATAGAAGCCGCTTGCTTGATACTCTGCCAACCGAGTTATGGTTGTAGTCAGGAGCACTATGCGTCCCCGCCTTTAACATGCTGTCGAAATCGAAAACATGAGTACAATCATGTACTTTCAAGCACAATAAACTTCATTTGTGGCTTTGAAAGAGATCGGGAGAGAAGATAAGAGCAGTTGCCAGAGGGTGATGACAAGATTCAGATGTCAACAGTGCGGTGCCAAAAATCTCTAATGTAGCGAAGGTCTTATGCAATTTCTTCCTAAACTGGTGTTCAACGTACACAGGTAGAGCCAACAAGAATCGATAAAACCAATAAATCGATCGTTAACGATATCGGTTGATCGTTAGGAGTTATCGAATGATCGTTTCAGCCCTAGCACGAACTGCGCTGTTTCAGATCAGATATGCACAGTTGCACACTCTGGTTTATGTACTCTTGCCGATACCTTTCGATGAGGCGATTTGATCAAGTATTTGCAAAACTACGACAGTTTGAAGTCGCCCTATAGTATACTCTGCATACCGGTATAGATATATCCGAACGTTAGGGCCTAAAGGGCTAAAAGACAAAATGTATATCTTCAATACAGACCTTCAGGAGTGAACTATAAAATAATGCAGACTTCCAAGGCAAAATATATAAATAGATGACCAGAAAAAAGTTTACAAGTAAAAGCAACAAACGTACGGCCTTGAAACCCGATGATATCTCCTTTGAAAGTTCCATGTCTTTGAACATTCCCTCCATCTTATTCGTGTATCCAGGTCCACATTCTGTAGAGAAATAGATAGATAGATAGACAGTTGTCTAAAGTCCCTAGGCTGCTTACAGTGCTCATGTCCACTGGACAGAGCAAGTAATACAAATATTACACAGCAATGAATCAAACAAGTCTCATTCCGCTGTTACTCCGAGTTTCGTGTCAACACACTTCATCAGACAGCATATTACCAAGACTAACAATCACTAGAATATATACGGAGAAGGGGAGAAGGGGGCCTTCTTGTACTCCTTCTCCGTAGGTATCGGTATATTCTTAAGCGAGTAGTCTATATCCATTCTCATTGGTTGGTCCATTGTGTTAGCAGTTTGGGGTGAGAGTGCTCGACTGTTGCTAGGACAGGAGCGGGATAGATAGATAGATAGATCCTCTGAGCTGTGCTGAGGAGCTCTAACAGAGCGAAACAGTTGCTGTCCACAGATTTGAGTATTATGCTCCCTAGCAGTCAGCAATGTCGTTAGGTTGAGCACTCTTACCTTAGCGCGAACCCTTGCCGCTCGCCTTGTGCAACGCTCACTGCTCTTGGAGCATTTCGAGCACTCTTGGCGGGGTTTGCAGCTCTTTATAAAAATACTTTGCTTCACGGAAACGTATTTCATTGCGAAGAGCTGCGCTTCGGTCCTCTGAGCTGTGCTGAGGAGCTCTAACAGAGCGAAACAGTTGCTGTCCACAGATTTGAGTATTATGCTCTCTAGCAGTCAGCAATGCCGTTAGGTTGAGCGCTCTTACCTTAGCGCGACCCCTTGCCGCTCGCCTTGTGCAACGCTCACTGGAAGCATTTCGAGCACTCTTGGCGGGGTTTGCAGCTCTTTATAAAAATGCTTTGCTTCACGGAAACGTACTTCATTGCGAAGAGCTGCGCTTCGGTCCTCTGAGCTGTGCTGAGGAGCTCTAAAGCCTAGTTCACATTCGACGCAACGCCGACGGTACGGGACGTAAGGGCTTGTCGGGAGGGCTGGGGTGAGCTGTAAAATCCTGTACGATTGGTACGACACGACATGCAGCAGTCGTTGCGACGTTCAACGTCGAACGGCGCGAGTCATAAGGCACGGTCCGTGACGGGGTGACTTTCGGACCTAATTTCTCGTTTTTCGGGACTTCTCTTCAATTATTTCTCCTTGAAAGAAGCGGAATCAAGTTCACAATACCAGTTTTTCATGAAGACCAAAAAATTAGCCCTGAAAGTTGTGGCATTCAAATAATAGCCCCAGGAAATGATAGAATAGTTCATCTGTCACGCTTCTGAACTATCCCTAAATGCAATAGGTGACATGAGATCTTATGTTGCTAAAATTCAACTCAAGTCGTGCTAGCCATTCTGTGTCTTATCATGGGAAGCGCAGTGTTCGAAATGCTAAAAATTTCCAAGTACGAATCGGGAGTAGTCGGCGCACGACGCCGTCTCCTGTTCACACTCGAATTGCAGCCGTTTTGTACGCTTGCGTCCCCGTCTACGCCCGTCTACGGTATGAAAAGTTGGATCGATCCAACTCTTCCCGTCGCTTCCCGATCTGTACGGTAGTACGGTTGCGTTCCCGTTCCTGGTGTCCACATTGGACGCCGTCAGTCCGTCCCGTCGATCCTTACGTCGCGTCCCGTCGCGCCCCGTCGAATGTGAACTAGGCTTAACAGAGCGAAACAGTTGCTGTCCACAGATTTGAGTATTATGCTCCCTAGCAGTCAGCAATGCCGTTAGGTTGAGCGCTCTTACCTTAGCGCGAACCCTTGCCGCTCGCCTTGTGCAACGCTCACTGCTCTTGGAGCATTTCGAGCACTCTTGGCAGGGTTTGCAGCTCTTTATAAAAATGCTTTGCTTCACGGAAACGTATTTCATTGCGAAGAGCTGCGCTTCGGTCCTCTGAGCTGTGCTGAGGAGCTCTAACAGAGCGAAACAGTTGCTGTCCAAAGATTTGAGTAGATAGATAGATAGTTAGAGGGAGATAGATAGATAGATAGATAGAGAGAGAGAGAGAGAGATTTTTGCTCCTTTGCTTTCTTATAACTAGGCACCCTTGGGAAAAACATGCAAAGCAAACAGTAGCAAAACCAAAACAAAAACATGCACACACTTACCTTGCTTCAGCTTGGAGAGCATTGCTCGCTCAGCATCTACTGATGCACTCTTCCCAACAAGAAGACGTTTTGCTAAGCAAGTCTGATAGAACGCCTCAAAAAAGTCTTTGCCTGGGTGACAGTATTAGGCACACACACACACACACACACACACACACACACACACACACACACACACACACACACACACACACACACACACACACACACACACACACATATGCGTGCGTGCGAGGGCGCGAGCACACACACACACACACACACAAAACGCACACATGCACATGTGCACACACACACACACGCACACACACACACACATACACACACACACACACACGCACACACGCACACACACACACACACACACATACACACACAAGAAATGCAAGATATACAGTATACACATGCACAGAACATTATTTTGGATTGTGCCATTACTCAGGCAGCTAGACCTACTCCCAGAAAAAGATACAACCACCACACATTACATGGACACCAATGCCTTTCTGTATTACAAGAAAATAGTCAGGCAGTGTCAACATGTCCGAACAAGAGGACACAACTATCCCAGAGTGTACAGTTCTGTTGGTTAGTGTTTATCAAAATTCCTACGCAATATCATCCAGGTGTGGTGGCCTGGTTTCGTAGGATGACAGTTAGCTTCTGTTCTCTTGCCGTCTGCCATGCACACATTACACTTTGGAAGATGTCGAGCAAATCATGCCCACAAGCAGAGGAGAAAAACGATGAAATTAATGTGGAAAAAAGAAGAAGAAAAAAACACACACAAAAAACAACAACAAAAAGACGAAGACCCCAGCGCACAGTTTCATACCACACTCTTGAAAGCTCACCCTGAATAAAGCGGAACAGGACCATCACCTTATCTAAGAGCAGATCGAGCTCCTCATCAGTAGATGCCTGTAGAGTTGCACACACACAAACACACACACACACACACACACACACACACACACACACAGCCGTGTACACAAAGCAATGACATGCATTGTCAGAAAAAGAAGAGCAGTTAATCAAGGACGGTGACAGTGAAGTGATAGTAACATCTCAGCCAGTGTCCTTAGGGTCAAATTAGTGTTGCAAGACTCGACACTGATCACCGTAAAGCGGGTAACCTTTGTGATCTGTAATGCTTCTCGGTTTTGGTGATGGGTGTGGAGTCGCAAAAGTAAGCCGGCATGAAACGTAGGACTGTAGTGAAGAAACTGAGGAAACTGACTCCAATCGCAAACATGTCCAGGTGCAAACTTGTCTGCGCTCGCAAATCGCGAACTAAAACTGGCGGAAAACGTTTCCCGGTTTACGGTAGCTGAGCGTGTCTGGTGAGTTGGATCACACTTGTAGCCATCTGGGGAGCCCTGCACCTTCTGCAGAGTGCCTGGGTGATGCAGCAATGCAGCCAGAAAGGCAGGGCTAATACTCACACACTCTAGGGGGGGGGGTAGACTGATCTCACTGTGCAAACAGTATAGCAACAAAGTCAAGCCAGTACTCAGAGGCTCTCACCTTATTTCCAGCTCGTAGCTTCACATCAACAAACTTGGCTACAGGATACAGAAAAGGCCGGGAACAATAGCCATACAACATAGTCAAGCGTGGATTTGAAAAATGTACAACAGCATACCAATAGCATACCAATAGCTGGATCACTAACACCTTGTATATCTGCAAATGCAGGTAGTTACATATGTGTGCCCACATGTACGCGTGCACGGCAGCAAAAGCCCACCCACCCACCTACTCATGTGCACACACACCATGTTACATGTACACACACACACACACACACACGGGCACACACACACACACACACACACACACACACACACACACACGGGCACACACACACGGGCACACACACACACACACACACACACACACAGATTATCCAATCTGGCAGTATTACCGATCAACTCTGCTGGTTTGTTCGCTCTCTGGTTCACCACCACCGTGAATGCATCCTACAGAAATATCAGGGAGGAAGCACAAGCCATTAGCACACACAGACGCACAACTCTCAACTAAGAACTCTACAGCTACTGTATTAAAGTCAACAAATATTCGGCGCATATTTATTTTCGGCTATTTTCGGCCTGATCATGTTTGGCCGGAAATTTGTTTTGCAAGGTTTAGTGTGACAGTGTATACAAGCGGCAGCAGTACAGGCCGAAAATTTGATGCGGCCGAAACTTGAATGGGCCGAAAATTCGTCGACTTACAGTATCTCAAAACACAACTTCATTTTCTGTGTCAACCTGTACTTTGACTTGCCAGCATCGGGGGAACACCACCACGCTTTAAAAGGATCAAAGCATACATACAGCTAAAAATGCGGCGGATGTGAATTCGTCACACTCTTCCAATTGGTCAAAGAACGATAAACCCATCCGCTACCCTTGTTCCAGGCCAGGACTTGCAACAAATTAGTCAAAATGTACTTTCGCTCGGGATAGAAAAGAAAACGGGCATTGTCATTGTTGCCATTGTGCATGCGTGTCTCACGGCTCAGGACGAGTCCCTTGGTACGAGCTGTGCAACTTATCCTTTAGGAAAGTGTGTGCTTTGTGGTGGTACCAAGGAAACACGTGGGCAATGGAAACATCTCCCTTCAAACGGCCCTCGAATTAAGCAACTGGTACGGATCACTGGGATCAGTTACAATTGGTTCAAAAAGCACATGTTCCCTAAATGCAACACAGAAAATCATCGATTATCCGGACGATTTGATTATCCTGAATGCCTGGGACCACTCCCATCCCCGCCCTCCTCCCCCCCCCCCCCCAAAAGGAGAACAAAAAGAAGAAAACGGATGTAGGAAGCAGGACTAGAGTTGGCTACGCACCAGAGCGGGTCGTCTAGCCTGCACATCTACCAGGTACAATGTACGTGTGTGCTGCTGGCATGCCCATCAACGCAGCGTAGATTTACTAGACATGTGCATGATCTTGAACGCATTCTCAATGATGAAGCCATTGCCTATGACCTTCAGCTCGCATGTAGTAATCACATACACTCTGTCATTATCCGAACTTTTCCCTTACCCGGAACCATTCTGAACAGCGTCTGCCTCTAGGGTTTCGGATAATCAATGCTCCACATCTACTGTATTTGTTTGTGTTGTTGAAGAACAAACAGTGTACTTTGGTGACAACAACAGCGCTTCAAATATACGATTCGGGTACTTGGCACCATGTAGCATACCTTGAGTGAGATGACAAACTTGTTCATATTCACAAAGCAGTCCTCCACAGTCACATCCAGCTTGTCTTTTAAATCTAGAAGGTCTTGCACCATGCTGCCCTCCCTGTCAGCATCCATCACAATCGTCGACCCACGGCCCTGTTCCAATACACACACACATAAACACACGCATGCGCACCCACCCACCCACCCACACGCACACACACACACACACACACACACACACACACACACACACACACACACACACACACACACATACACACACACATACAGACACACACACATACAGACACACAGATCGAACTTAACAAAAGTCACGTGCCCTACTGCCTTATCATACTCTTATACACTGATGGTCCAGCTTGAAAGTGAGGCCTGTACAGTAAACCAGGAAACCTTTACGAGATGGCCATTTCAAAATATAATAGTCAATCTAGCCAATTACGATCTAAGCCATAACGACAACTCGCAAATAACGCCATGTTTTCGATGGCTAGAGCAAACGCCCATTTGACTACATACAGTCAACCTCTGGTATAACGAATAACGGCAGCTTGGATAACGGCAAACGCCAAAACGACATGATTTTCGTGCCATGTGACCAGGATTGCCGCATGAATAAGGACATTCTCACAAGAATGAGCGTCATTCAGCTGTCCCCTATTCAACTGCAGAGTGAAGTCATAACTCCGAGGTGCTGACAGTTCAGCAGCCAGTTTGACTTGTTGCACGCGCCAGACCATGCTCTCGAGGCCTGGCCAGGCCCAGAGCATGCAAACAGAAACCTGGCATCAGGTACGTGGCCTAGATGATTTCCGATTCAAACAAAGTCAAAGAACATGTTTTCTACGCTTCGTTGTGATCGATAACCAGAGTGTAGCTGCTAGCCAGGGATTGTACAGAATTGTACGACTCCATGCGATTCCCTAGGGGCTAGGCTAGGGGCTAGGCTCTGGTCCATCAGTGCAAACTTTACAGAATTCGGATTTCGGAAATCCAATTATGCAAAGTTTGCACTGATGGATCAGAATGAGTGTGTGTGTGGGGGGGGGGGGGGGGGGTTCGATTCCCGACGATTATGGTCACACACGTCTTTCTTCTCCTTCTCAGACTCTTCCTGACTTTTCTTTCATTCTCCTGGGTGGTTACCAACAGCCAGTGCATGCCGGAGTATGTGGTGTGATTTGTGTGTGGAAAAAATAATAATAAAAAAGACCAAAAAGTAGGGATTCACTGGCCAGAAAAAGCCACTTCATAGCTGTGTGGTGTAGACCAGGCTGAATAGTGGCGGCCAATTCTTCAGCCTTGCAACCTGTTGAATGGTGCAATCCCAGCACAAGTTGCTATGGCTTCTGCTGTAGCATTGCTATCATCGCCTCTGGCGATGGGCGTCCAATGGTCGAATGGTGTGTGTGTGTGTGTGTGTGTGTGTGTGTGTGTGTGTGTGTGTGTGTGTGTGTGTGTGTGTGTGTGTGTGTGTGTGTGTGTGTGTGTGAGAGAGAGAGAGAGAGAGAGAGAGAGAGAGAGAGAGAGAGAGAGAGAGAGAGAGAGAGAGAGAGAGAGAGAGAGAGAGAGAGAGAGAGAGAGAGAGAGAGAGAGAGAGAGAGAGAGAGAGAGAGAGAGAGAGAGAGAGAGAGAGAGAGAGAGAGAGAGAGAGAGAGAGAGATAGAGAGAGAGAGAGAGAGATGAAGAGAAAGAGAGACGAGGACAAACACACCCAACTATACCTTGACATAACCGTTGAAAGCCTTGCATAGCTTATCCAGACAGCCGTCGATCCGCTCAAACAGTGAAAAGAGCAGCCTCAAATCCCTTGACCGGTTGGAATCCAACAGGTCGTCCAGTCCACGGGAAATAATACCGGCAGCATGAAGGGCAACAAGGTTTTTCTCCACACAAGTGATGAGAGGTGCTCGTGTTGATACATCCAGATAGGCCTGAAAAGAAGAACATGGAAGGCAGAAGAGGCAAATACTAAAATAGCATGTGGTACCTCCAGCACTCGAACATGGCTGCTGCTTATACATGTAGTAGATCTAATAAGTACAAAGGTCAACAGAATTCAACAGTACATGCACAAACACATAAATGCACACACGCAGGCAAACTCAAACACACACACACACACACACACACACACATACATATTACATACACACGCATGCACGCACGCGCGCGCGCACACATGCACGCACACACACACACACACACGCACACACACACACACACACCACCACCACCACCACCACCACGCACGCACACACACAACCGATCATGATAGATGGTACAGCCAATGCCATTCAGGCCACCTACATTCAGCCTCTCCTGCTCCTGTTTCAGACGCTGGTCGACATGCTGTAGGTAGTCAGGCACTGACATATTGTTCTCAAGCAACAGCCGCCGGCCCTCGGCGAAATATACTAGTTCCGTTTCAGCTAAGAATGGTCCCTCAAAACTGGCCGCGTACATCTGTACATAGAACCACCAATGTCAACGAAGCAGCAGCAGCAGCAGCCAGTAGGAAAAAACAAAATAAGTTGAAAAGTGGTCCAGTAAGCACACATCAGACTGTACACCAAGGAGGACCAACATGCAACATGCAACATGCAACATGCAGCAGTGGAAAGCTTCGCAGCAAAAAAGAAACAAACGCACTGGGGAAAACAATGGTTGGCCACGCACCTCGATTGCAGCCATCGACAACATTGGAACCTCGGAACACAGACAACTCCAATCAGACGTAAACATGACAGTTGGCAATACAAACTACACAAAAGAACCCTACCTGAAGAGCCATTAGCATATGAACTAAGCTGCTGAGAAGCTGCCGATCTATTGCTTCACCTTGCCTATAGCACAGCACACACAAGACGAAGACACACAGAGACGGATTGCATTACATGTAGCTGACACACAGAGACAGATTGCATTACATATAGCTGGAACCTCCCCCCCCCCCCCCCTCCCCCGTGCTCCCCTCACTCGTGCGACAAGCTGTAACGGCCTGTCATTCGTGTGCAATGTACGCCGTAAGACAATCTTAAGCGAACCGGTACCATAGAGGTGATGCGATTGCATCATCAGTTGAGAACTTGAGATGCTTAGGCAAAGCCGCGACACAGCGATGAACTGGCTCAAGTGAAACTGCACCCTCACACTGTACACGTAGCGATCATAAGACAAGCCACTAGTTCACCACCACTGCATCACATGCATAACCTCTATAGGCATAACGTGTATACCAAGTGAAGCGCAACTAACTCCATTCTACCCTTGTCACAGCAAAGTACAGCGTGCAAACATACACACACACACGCACACACACACACACACACGCATGTCCGCCTGCCCACGCCCACACACAATACCTGGCTACTTGCAAGAATTGAAGAATCTTCTGCAGCCAGGACAAAGTGCGCATGTGTGTACTGCAATCTACTATACTTTGTCCCCTTAGTTATCCTGGCTTTACCTATAGGATAAATGCCAAAGTTTAACCCTTCACCGAATAGCCAGTCAAAAATCGACGACTATCCGCCGATGACTGACAAGCTGTAACTCATTCATTTTTGATCTAATCTGCACCATTTTGGTCTCAAAAGAAGCAGAAAAGACCCACCGTTCGTTTGCAAAAACCGGAGCGTCTTAGCAGGCTCCAAAAAGACGTTATAAGTCTCTGAAGGAGGTCTGTTTTCACACCGTGGAGCCTGGGTATATGATCCCCAGCAGGAGCCATGTGTCCAAGGTGATTGTCAAGAGGCACGAGGAGGGAAAAGCAGAACTGTGTGCGCTGCTGAAGGCAGTCCCAGCCGTTGCACTGACCACTGATGCGTGGACATCGAAGGCCGTACGATCATTTGCAACGTACACTGTGCATTTCCTGAGCGATTCTTGGGAGTTGCACAGCTTCGTGCTGGCAACACGATCAATGGACGGCGGTCACACAGCGTGGCCGAGCACATCAAGTCCATTGCAGCAGAATTCGGTATTGCGGACAAGGTAACTGCCATTGTGCATGACGAGGCCGCAAACATGGTGGCAGCTGGCCGGAAACTGGATTAGTCCAGCGAGATATGTGCTGCCCACCGACTGCAGACGTGCCTTCGGCACGCATTTGATGATGCTGCGCCGACCAAGAAGTTGCTTGCTGAGGCCCGACGATTGGTGGCGCATTTCAGCCACAGCTGCTTTTGCACACAGCACCTGCTAGAGAAGCAGAAGACGCACATGCCGGAGTCTGTTGCAAAGAAGCTAATACAAGATGTCCCAACTCGTTGAAACAGCTTGTATTACATGATCCAGCGGTTGGTCGAGTTAAAGATGCCAGTTTCTTCTGTGCTTACCGACCCGATGCTCACACCGAAGTCCGATCACCGTGCCCTCCTTTTGAAAGAGAAGCACTGGGCATTGGCGGAGGAGCTGGTGTCAGTCCTTCGACCATATGAGAAGGCAATGACAGTCCTCAGTGTCCAGCAGTACCTGACCATGTCTTCTGTGCTGCCAATAACGACATCACTTGTTCGTTGCAGCGAGGCGCATACACGAGCAGAGCAGTAGTCAACATGCTTGAAAGCATTCTGTGCGCAGCTGGCTGAGGAGGTTAAGCGCAAGTTCATGTTGTCTCCAGTGAATGTGGAGGGCACGGTTGCTATTGCAGCTGCACTCCATCTTCGCCCGGGTAGTTTGTCCTTCTTGGATGAGGCGCAGTGTGAGGAACTCCGCCACGAGATACTCCACCGCTGCATGACGGTATCGCCTGAGGCAGAGGTTGGTGATGACAACATCAGTGCTGCTGAGCCACCTGCGAAGAGGCCAGCAAAAGACCATGACCTCTTCTTCGGCGAAGCTGATGATGCACAAGTGTCTGCCAGTGTTCAAGCTGAGCAGGATGTTGCCAACTTCTTCGGCGAGAAGGCGGCACCTTCATCCGTTAAGCTGGTGGCGCATGCATGAATTACGGTTCAGTCTGCTAAGCCAGATGGCTAGGCAGGTCGTGTGTGTCCCTGCGACTTCTGTGCCGTCAGAGCGGGTGTTTTTGGCTGCAGGGCACATTGTGTCCAAGCTCTGGTCGGCACCGTCACCGGTGAATATCGATGCGCTGATCTTCCTCCAACAGAATCAGCGGCTTAGGAGCGCACAAGGGCCAGCTGCAGGGAGGGTTGCCGTCAAGCAGGCTGCTGTAGTTGAGCTTGATGAGGTTTTGGAAGAGGAGGTTGTTCATGTCTAGGCAACTGCTGTCCTGCCAGTTCCAGATCCTTAGCAGCTGCAATCGCTACCGTTGTCGGTGCAACTGGAACTGTGCCTCTCCAATGTGCAATTTCTCTCTCATTTCTTCCTTTGTTTTTGCAATATTAATAATGTTGTGCACAAGTACTGTATTATACGATGAACATACAGTCATGCATTACAGGGTTTGTTTACCATCACAACTTAATGAATTCTGCAAATACTGGCCAAATACAAATCGAGTGTACAAATGGCTATACTGTCTTGGTAACTACAATAATTATTTTATTAGAGAATATTCGCTCGAGTTCGTTTGTTAGAGTGGGAAATCGTTCGTATTCGAAATTCCTTGTTCGTTTCACCCCTATGACTAAAAGCTCAACAGTGAAGCAGACATCATAGAGAAATGAGGCCAACACTGGTAGTAAGCAAGATTCTGCCAGTGTGTTTCATTACCTTACCTCTCCCTTGACACAAGGTTCAGTACACCTGGAAACAAGCGAGGCTGCACGGCAGGGTCAGTGGCAATGTGCTGTCGGAAAAGATCCAAGGACGCATCCCTGCCAGTAGAGTTGGCACAAGAACACAGCACATTTATATAATTATATTTAGGACTTTGACTTATACTACAACAGGACTTTGAAGTGAAGCAATCGGAATGTGTTCTCGTGTTCCTGGGAACGGAATTTTGATACTGAGATTCTGGGGATTTTCCCTATTCACCACACTACTGTAGATAATCACGAATTCCCAGTACAGCAAAACCTGTCAAGGCGACCACTCGGATAAGGCGACCATCTGTCCTAGAAGACCACTGAAACCAGGACCAATGGATGCTATTTCCAGTCAAATGACACTGGATAAGGAGACCACGTTTTGAAGGTCCCATGAGCAGTGGTCGTCTTAGACAGGTTCCACTGTATTACCTACAGTACTAGAGTGCTGAAGAATGAGGAGATCGGTGCTGCTACTTAGGTCTTCCCTATTTTTTCATGCACTGCAGTTCATGCGCGGTTGATTCCCCGCCCATAAAACAGAGAGGTTCCAGGCTGTCCAATAGAGTGCTCACTGAGGGTAGTAGAGTCACACATGGCCCTGCACTAGCTCAATGTTCGTGCGGACCTCACTGCCATTCAAACGGTGCAGTGAGTACGGATTGACTGCACAACGTCAGGGCTGGTATTTGGGATCACAAAACGGGAACACGTCAGAGGCCATCTTGAATCACGCTACGTCATCAGATACCCGCACGTGATGCGGGGCCGCGAGGTCGCGACTGCGCAAAAGTGTACTTGCCAGTACAGATCTTTGACCTAGCTGCAAGAGCAAGTGCTAGTTTCTATTTTTTGGTGGTGCTTGAACTAGTTCGAACTGCTTCCCTTCGACTTTCTTTGACAGAGCGGGTGCTGTTAGGGTTTCCTGTGGTCAGTTTGTATCCACCACCGGTCTTGTATGTCAGTGCTTGTACAAGGAGGTGTTCAGTAGTTATTTTCAGTCCGCACCATGGATCGCATCCAGGGTAGGAAATCGCACTCTGACCGGCTTGATTAACCCGAGTCGAGAAAGAACGAACTAGTGGCCAGTTCGGCTCAGTATCATGGCCAGCTGGACGTAGATCAGATCGCCCCGAGGTCGAACAAACCGACAGTAGTCCTGAAATCCTTACCTCGCAGAAACATTGACGATGTGGTGGAGCGCGGTGTTCAAGAACAAGGAACCATGGTAATAATTGGATTCGCTCCAGAAAAATTATTCTCGTGGTTCCCGGTTCCTTTCCCAATATTTCCTATGGTCTGGAATACGTGCATCACGCTGAAGCCTAGATGAATAAGATTGTAAGTCAGTCTTCTCTCTAGCTCAAGATTTTGCGAACATGGTATCAGTGAACAATAAAAGCAAAGGACACAGTGCAACAAATGGAAAATGCACGTCTCCTTCTTTTCCTTGCCGTGCGCACTGCACTGTCACAGTCTGCAGTTCTGACTGGTGTCTTCCGTTTGTGAAAGAACCAGCGCAAGTCGCGTGGCACGGCGTCCTTCAAAACGACACAAGTGAGCTCCACATCAGCCGATTTTGACAATCGATGGCTCAAAATTTTCAGTAGAAGATGCTCCATACTTTCACCGAAGCCAATTTCGCCAAAACGATCCTAGAGGTGGGACACGTTTACCGAGTTTGAGGGTGTTATTTGAAGTCTAAATTGCGGAAATCAAAAAATCCTTCGGTGAATCCCTTTGCCCACATCTGAACTCGGTGCCTGCAAAATCTCAGCCTGCTAGAGAGAACTGTGGCTCACTTGCGTGGATTTGAACAGGCCAGAGTCGACGCGAAGTACGGCTAGATTCCCTGTACACAGCATGGTGTGACACATGTCACGTGAACCAAGATGGCGCCCACGTGTTTCTGTACAAGTACTAGCCCTGAACGTATAATGAATGTGTGTACAGTGTTCGCTTTGTATGGCCTGTGTCAACTTGGGCCCTTGCTGCGAGCTGCGTGGTGACCGGGGACCAAACATAGTTCAGTCTCAGTGTCTGGTTGACTGGTCGTGACTTTCATGTACATGTACTAGATGCCTATTGGGTAGTGTCCAGAGTACATAACCCACAAGAGTGTGCAACTCCCGCATGCAGTGCTGGTCCCACAAACTTTCAAGTTAGTGTCATTTCGTTTACGATGCAAAGCTCCTCGTACAAGTGACTTACAAGTTACAATCCCCGTACTGGGTGTCAAGCCATCACACACAGGGGCGTCGGACACGGTACGGTCACTACCGTATTGACCGCACCACTTTTTTTGCTCCAGGTACCCCGTGAATCAATAAAATACAATCATCTGGGCTCTAAATTTCCAAATTTTTGGGCTCAGCCACCCCTCCCCCATGAGCAAATTGTACTTCAGATGGCTGACCGTACCACACTAAGATACCTTCCGACGCCCCTGACACATGCAGACCTACAAACTTCACTTCATCTGTGGTAGGGAGATCTACCTCCAGATTGGACAGCCAGTGGGAAGGGCGCCTGCCCTCCAACACCGAGGAGTAAAAACGGGCATGCTATGTCAGCACAATTCACCGTGCACGGGAACAGAGTGCCGGTCACACCAAGGAAAGCACCACTGTACAGTCAGACCTCGCTTAAACACACACATCCATTTTCCACAAAAATATCCGGATAGGCGAGGGAACCGGATAACCGAACACCGTTTATGTTGGATGCATCACGTATGCTGTAAATATGTAACCAGCTATTTTCTCCCGGATGGCAAGGGATCCGGATAAAAGAGGACCGGATAAGCGAGGTCGGACTGTACATACATGGTTACCATACTTTCCGCAAAATCTGTGTTGAGGAAGGAGGTTTTCAATTCTGGTCGGAATATGGAATAGCATTACAAAAAAAAACCCAGGAGATCTCCCGTCTGATATGGAGACTCGGCGCCTCTGCACGTGTTTCCTTTCCCTAGTTTGTACAGGATCAAATGGAGATCAGTCCACCACAGATCCAGGATACGTCCAATAATACGCGTACAACGCTGCGTACATGCCAGGCGTCATAAATACGATGTCAACTTGAAATTCTGTCCGGACAGCACCCATAGTGGAGTTGCACACTTGGGGGGGGGGGGGGGGGGGGTATGTACTCTTTGGCAGTGTAAAAGAAGATGCAGGTGAATCTTACCACACTTGCAGCACACTGCCAGTCTGCGCCACGTAGGTGCGGTCCAGAGTCAGGAAAATACTCCGTACGTAGACCATCTGCTGGCAGTACTGCTCCCACAGTGAATGCACTCTCTGCAAGAAGGTCGCTTGGTCCATGTTGTCCCTGCAAGACGTGGCACAACAGAAAAGCATGCCCGGCAGCAGCAGCACTAAGACATAGTGTACAGCTAGCAGCACATGTACCGCTCTCTCTATCTTTTGTCACATGTGTACGGATGTACTTCACAAGATGTGCAAAAAGAAGTTGCAAGTGCATACCTGGCTACTTGTGCGCTATGGTCATTGCGAGTAATTTAGAATAAAGTAACGGCAGTCACATGAACGCATACACACCCAAACAACATGCACACGCACACATACGAGGAATAGCCCGCGATAGGTGGATATTAGGTGGATAACATTGATGCAGGTGAATTTGTACCTGTTTTATCCATACCCTCATCTGGTTATGAAGGTGATAGAGTACATTCCTTTGATGGCACAATGTTTAACAGGTAATGACGCTAGTTAATACTAAGAAAATGCTCCAAAACGTTTGACCACTGTTTTGAGCTGCGCTCCACAATGATACTCTCGCACAGTATGGATGTGCATAGAGCACTGCACAGATCACTGCATGGGCGAACGCGCGTGCGCGCACACACACACATGCACATGTACACACATACACACACACACACGCCTACAAACACACACGCACACTCTCATACACTCACACACATACACACACCTACAAGCACACACACACACACACACACACACACACACACACACACACACACGTGCACACACACTCACACACACGTGCACACGCACTCACACAAACAGACACCAACACGAGCGCACACATGCCACTTACGAACGGAACATCACAATCTGCTTTTTGACGTGCTCAGCGATGACTTCGATCAGATTTGTGTAGAGCTGCGCAGCCATCTTCTGGTTACATGTGTTCTTCACATAGCTGAAGAGCTGCTGCTGGCTAACACAAAGTGCTTCTTGCCGCAAGATGGCTCGAATGGCAATTTTCAGCTCTCCCCATGTCTTCGTGTAATACGCATCTCCACTAGCAGTTTTGACTGAGAACAGATACACGTGGGCAAAAGAAACAACACGAACAGAAGTCGTTTGGCTAATGGAGCGCAGTGTTGCCCTCCAGAGAAGACACAGGCTTTAGAACGAAGTATGGCTGGAACAACCAACAGCAACCTCTTGCTACACGCTCTCAACGGGACTCATCTCATGGCTTCCAGGACGAAGAGCAGTCTTTGGAGCCGAGAAGATGCTCAAGCGTTTAAAACATCGCCCTAAAGCTTCCCCGGGGAATACATCGGGATACTGGCATTTGGATGAGGCATGATATGACTGTGTATGTAGTGAATGGTGGGACTGGGAGGCATGGCAGTGCAATCCCAAAAGATCACCCACCTACTGCAAACCAGGAAAATTTGGCAACAAGGAAACCTTGTCCCTTGTAGTATTCAGCAACACTGACTGGCACTCAACAGCTGCAATTCTCACAAAGGCACGAACGCTTCAAAGTTTGGGTCACCATCATCACCATCAGGAATGAAACGGACACAGTATGGTGATAGTATCGCTCTCTACGGTAGTCAAATCAGAACAACGGATGATCGATCGATGTGTTCTGAACCTGATGAACTCTCACCGTATCTACACAACACGCGCGGGAAAGCATACGCACTTGATCATACTTCTGCCAAAGAATGACGCAATAAAAAAATTCCGGCGCGGGTGAACCCATTGTAGCTCGAGATAGGGAGTTGCAAACTCTTGGTGCTACTCAATGCAATCTGATCAAGCAAGTCAATGCCACGACAGGCACTGTTCAGCCCCAGCCAGACCAGTGCATACATACTGGGCTTTGCAGGGTACAAACGTGACTAACGCCATCAGTTTTCACTGAGCAGCACCGTATACAACAACGCAGTGAATAATAATAGGTAGTTGTTTCTTTTCCATTCAACAACTCAACCTTCTCTGATGAGGTTCTATTGACCGAAACAGCTGTCAGAAGGAACGAGAGAGCTTGGAAGCTCAGGGCCCTGCGCTATGCTTTGTTGCCTAGCTCATCGTGCATGTTGTTAGAACTGATGGAAATGCTTTTTCCTTTGATTAGCTACATCATTGTATTGCAAAAACGTTTCAATGAGATACTGAAGTACAAGTAACGCCTTCTGCATAGCTATGGGACCGGCGCTGACTCTGCCGATCACGGGCGTTCTGGAGTCGACGGGATGTCTGTCCTGACGTTTCTTGGGACCGGCGCTGACTCTGCCGATCACGGGCGTTCTTCTTCTTCTTATTATTATACTGACGGCAACTAACATCCATTCTGATTGCATTTACTCGTCTCCCTACTTCGTATTTTTTTCAGAAAATCTCCCCATACAGCAGGGAGTCGTTTACATAATATGACTCCCTGCTGTATGGGGAGATTTTCTGATTGCATTCACTCGTCTCCCTGCTTCGTATTTTTTTTCCAGAAAATCTCCCCATACAGCTGGGAGTCGTTTACATAATATGACTCCCTGCTATAGATCTACATGACTGTATATACGTTATAATTACTCAATCTGATACGTTATAATTATTATGCTATCAGCCTACATGCGATCCCCGGGCTGGTCGACAGGCGGACCAGCCAGCCTGCTAGTGGGTTCTCGGCCTCGCACACAAATCCACACAAAATGTTACTGCACTGAATGCATTCCCCCGATACACTTCACATATATACTCATTCTCTTGATGGTACCGTACTCTTGATGGTACGGGACAGATAGGGGATAGCGCCAGGCATGTCGATGGCACAAACAAACAAACATAGTAGCCAGCTGTCTTTGCTGGTACGGTACAGTACGGTACAGATACGGGATAGCGCCAGGCGTGACACAAACAAACAAACAAACAAACACCAAATTAAAGCTGTGTGGACCCTGGCTAGCGCCAGACGTTACTGAAGTAACGTCTTCTGCATAGCTACGGGAATTAAAAATATTTCAGTACTCCGGAGGAACCTCTTGTTGCTGTTGTGGGGAATGTGTGGTCGGCCGCAGAGCGCAAAGGTGGTGACGGTGAAGTGGACGCAGTGAAAACTAATTCGAAAAATTCTCATTTGGCATGGCTTGCAAAATCCTCCTATCGCTAAATCACGAAATTTGCAGAATTCGAAAATTTGCCTAACTTCAAGTTCCCCCTTATAAAACTGAAGATCTCTCTATATTCTTTATCTTTCCTGTATGTGCGTGTGTGTGTGGGGGGGGGGGGGGGGGGGTGCTAAAATTTTCTGCTGAAATCCTCAGCAGGGTACGCGCACGAGGGTCTGTGTGGGGTTCAGCAGGGTACGTATGGGCTATCCAGGATTATCCCTGCATAACCTTCCAAGCCTTCTGTCTGAAATGACATGGCTGGGTGTAACTCAGCCAATGGATGTATAGAATGCCCTCTCTCTCTCTCTCTCTCTCTCTCTCTCTCTCTCTCTCTCTCTCTCTCTCTCTCTCTCTCTCTCTCTCTCTCTCTCTCTCTCTCTCTCTCTCTCTCTCTCACACACACACACACACACACACACACACACACACACACACACACACACACACACACACACACACACACACAAACACACACACACACACACACACACCCATCCGCTCCGGTGTAATTGGGCTTTTGTCTGGTTGGCTTTGTGAATCCAAATATAATAAAATACAACAACAACAACAACAACAACAACAACAACAACAACAACAACAACAACAACAACAACAACAACAACAACAACAACAACAACAACAACAACAACAACAACAACAACAACAACAACAACAACAACAACAACATCTCTTATTGGCCACTGGCTATCGTGAGAATAAAGATTTGAAACAACAACAACACAAGGCAAATTCTGCCCACAGTCCATGGGGAGGAATCTGCTGGCATTCGCACCCAAGCGTTTTGTAACTTTGGTTTTATACGATGTGCTTAGCATGTTTCTTGTGTAATCTTCGCACATTGACAACTTAAACACATGTTGATACCCGTTGAATTAGAGAATGGAACGCTTGCGTTCACATAGTACATTGCATTGCATAAAGAGCACTAGAATTTGAATAAACACATCCATTCAATATTTGAAATTACCAGGAGCAAAGAACGAATTGCACGAACTCAACTTTATCCCCAATATATTATGTCCAAGTAAGTTGAATGAACATCAAACAAACTCAGCGATAGGATCTTTTTCCAGAGCATTCACTACATGCTGCTCAAGTCAAGATCAGTGAAATTGACATTCGAAATTCAAAATGTGCAAACCGAACTCACCCGATAAGCTTTTTATGCCAAGGACTTTAGCCGGCCTGGACTTTACAAGCCCAGCCATACTGCAGCTCGGGCTAGTCGAAGATATCCTGTTTCTTGTGGTAGATGAGCTGACTGAATCGACCAAAGAAGAAATGTTATTGCGTCTGGCTGCTGAGAAAGAATTGGTCGATATAGAAACACGTTTTCTTGGACGCTCTTCCAGTCTATCTTCTGCGTCTGAAAGACGTCGCTTCCTGCAATTTACAACATCACCCTCATGCTGCTTTTCACCCTCGCAGGCTTGAGAGGGGCTTTTCGGTTTGGGAAGCATTCACAAGAAAATGTAAAACAAAATATTTCCACCTGCTCCACACCACACTCAGGTTTCTTTCAAGTCAAGATCAATGCACAAATAAACCAGGCATGTACGGATTGTACGAGCCTGGGAGTCGTCAAAATAATAAGTATTTTGACGACTCCATGGTGCATGGTACAGACTCAGTGCCACACTGGTACGGTAGAGTCTACGAGCCATGATGCGCCAGTGCACTGAGCATGAGCTGAGCTGAGTGCAGTGAAACAACAGTCAACACGTGCGTCACGAGATTTTCGTGAAAGATTTTGTTCGTGTTTTTCGTTCAGTCGCGCATGTACATGATGCACGGATGGGTAGGACTAAAGGGACAAGCCCAACTATTTTTGCAGTTTTCTGTCATAAAAAAATAAACGTCACAGGCTGCTCTTCGCAGGTGTCCGCGTCGGAGCGGTCCGGGCGAGCGACCGCATCTCAGTGGGACACTTGTCCGTGGCCGTTGTAATGGAAATCTGTGGCAGAACCTTGCCATGCCAGAGGCTACACACACCCGGGTACCTATACCGGGATAGACAAATCCTTGGTGTTGCTTCTTTCATTTTTATTTGTTCTTGCTGAGAAAGAAACGTTGCTGCTTGGAAAGCTTTCTGTTCACTCCAGCGACTTTCCTCTAGTAACGTTGCTCACTGATAATGATCATAGCTCGTGATACCAATGGTGAAGAGAAGCTGGGTTTCTTGCCATTTGCAACTTCCTGGCTCTGAAAATATAGCTTGAACAAATAAGAGCTCCAAGTATTTTAGTTTTAGATTTCGATGTGCCAGACCTATCGTTACGAGATGCAGAGATGAGGAGCAAGGGAGGCGTTGGACTAATGCCAATAATGGTTTTATGGCCCAGACAACGCCAGCGATTTTCACTTGTCAAGAGGACAGTCAAGTTGGAGCAGGCAGATGACAGATTATTTGAGCATTTATAGCGGAGTGGGTGGTTTGCTAAAGAGAATCGTCTCAGTACCTCATGGTTACTAGTATCTGACAAATGCCTCTTATTGCTAGTCTGCATTATTGAGCATAGCAGAATTGATCATGTCACAAGTAGTGTCAAGACTTGATGTCCTACGATTATACTCAGATCATGTTGTAACTTCACGGGAATATCCGTCCTGCCACTTTACGCTCTCCCAAAATTGCCTGCAGGAGTCACGTGCCTGTGCAAGGGACAATGCGTTTGCATTGCTTACGGATGCAAGCGGATGGAGTGTAGACCAGATGAGAAAAAGTGATCCAGATATTCAACTAGCTTGGACCGCCATTATAAATTTGCCTGATGCCTGGACTATCTGAACATTGCTCCAAACCAATCCACAGAAGCAATACCCACACAGGAAGCCAAATGATAAACCCATTCATCAGCTATCGAACCTTTCATCAAAACATAATGCAGTGCATGCCTACTACTACTCAAACGAGATCAACAGATGCCACATGCCACACAGATACAACGTGGAGGCTCAGTATTTTCAAGACCCCGTGCAGTCTAGACAACTAGAACAACGAGGTTTGCACCTAATGTCCCTCGATTTGCTTGCCGTATTTAGTTCCTTGCAATTGAAGCAAGCCGTATCCGAGAACCGGTCACTGAGTTTGCAGTGTCGTCGTCGCGTGTATGTTGCCGTGGTGCTCTCTACCCTCCTGTACGGCGCCTCAACCTGGACAACGAAGGCTCCGGACCTACGACACCTCAACCTTTTCCACCATCAATGTGTCAGATCTATCGTTGGAGTGTCGCGACGGCAGCAATGGGAGACCCACGCAACGTCCTCAGCCCTTGCAAAGGCCCTTGGAGTGCCTGAGGACATTGGTCACATCATATGGGAATGACGTTTGCGCTGGCTTGGACACGTGGCACGGAGGGAAGATCACCGGTTGCCGAAGTGTGTTCTCTTCGGTGAACTGCCTGCCCCGCGCCCCGCGCGTGATCCACGCAAGAGGTGGAGGGACGTTGTTATGCATGACTTTGAGCCGGTTGAGCCACCGGTACCAACATGTGGATGGTACGATGCAGCCCAGAACCATCCGGAGTGGCGTGCCATTGCCCATCGACCACACAAGGCACCCTCTGCTGCTGGCTACGGTTGCGCCTGCGGCCGCATGTTCCGTCGAAGCGGCGACCTGAAACGCCATCAGTCATTCTGTCGTGGACTGGAGAAATAACAATGCGGTATCATTGCTACGCAATGGGCAAGGTCAAGGTGTGTTTATGGTGGTACAGGTAATGCTATGTACGCCTCTTTGGTCGCTCACACATTATCCATTGCCGGCATTGGTTACACGTTATTATCAATTTGTTATGACCTTCGCTGGTCTGCACACCCACCCACTCTACTCTCTGAAGTTGAGACTTTCGTTTGCCATTTCATCCGGTAGTTTGACTCTCTGAGAATATCCCTGCTACATGTACATGTATAATATAATTTATACTTTACAATTATCCTTGTACGTGTCTATCTTCTTGACACCATGACTTTCTTTGAAGGTCTTGTAGCTATGAAATGTTATTTGCTGCAGGCCATGTGTGTGGTGTGGTGTGTGTGTGTGTGCATCCGTGAATGTCCCACGCTTGGCCCGTGGGTAAATATACAGTCATGTATATGTTATATGCCACACCAATTTCGCTATCTGTATAATATTATGCAGCACAGTGGCAGGCATAGAGAGAGAGAGCGAGAGGGAGAGAGACGTTTTAATGTCTCTGATGTGAATTCTTCACTACTACATAATCTACATTGTACTTGTATGATCGAGCGTATGAGTGTGTGTGTGTGTGTACTTGTATGATCGAGCGTACAAGTGTGTGTGTGTGGGTGTGCATTTGCAGATTTGGTGCTTCTCTTGCGACGGGCGTATACATGGTGTGTGTGGGTGCATCCGTGAATGCCCCATGTGTGCGTAAATATACAGTCATGTACGTGTTCTGTGCCATTCAATTTCACTAACTGTATATGCAGCACAGTGGCAGGCATAGAGAGAGAGAGAGAGAGAGAGAGAGAGAGAGAGAGAGAGAGAGAGAGAGAGAGAGAGAGAGAGAGAGAGAGAAGAGAGATACGTTTTAATAATGTGTCTGAGGTAAATTCTTCACTACTACATGTACTTGTATGATCGAGCGTACGGATGTGTGTGTGTGTGTGTGCGTGTGAATGTCCCACGCATAGCCACGTGCGCGGTTCCACACAATTTCATTATGTGTAGAACAGCGGCTGGTAGAGAGATAGAGACAGACAGACACAGAAAGACAGAAACGGAGGGATGCTGCGCATAAAGAGCGACAGACAGAGACACAGACTCAGAGAGAAAGAGACAAAGCACAGACTGAGGAGAAAACAGACAGATACAGACAATCAGACACAGAAAGACCGAGACAGAAACAGAGGGACGCACATAATGAATGACAAAAGGAGAGACAGACACAAAGACTCAGGGAGCCAGAGACAGAGGGTCCTTAGGGAGAGACAGTGAGAAAAAAACTAAGAAAGGGAGAGGCAGATCGAGAAGGAAGAAGACACAGAGACTGAGAGAGAGACAGAAGAGAAGCAAACGGAGAAACAGCGACATAAGTACAGGGCCAAGAAGACAGACAAACATAGAGAGACAAGCAGAGAGAGACAAGCAGAGACAGACCAAGACAGGGAGACAGCTGGAGAGTTACACAGACAAACACAGATAGGCAGACAGAAAGGCCGTGACGAAGATTCAGAGAAACACAGAGAGAGAGAGAGAGAGAGAGAGAGAGAGAGAGAGAGAGAGAGAGAGAGGGGGGGGAGAGAGAGAAGAAGAGAAGAGAGAGAGAGACACGCGCACACGCACACACACAGAAACAGAGAGAGAAAACTGAGAAAGAAAGAGACAGAGAACAGTGACCGAGTGAGGGACAAAGAGAGACACACAGAGAAAGACTGAAGAAGAGAAGCAGACAGAAAAACAGAGACAGACAGATGGAGACAGAGAAACAGAAAGGAAGACAGACAGACAGACAGATGGACAGACAGACAGATAGGGACAGGCACACGGACAGAACGAGATAGGCAGACAGCTAGAGAATGACAAAGACAGGCATACAGAAAAACCAAGACACAGACAGAGACACATAGACAAAGAGAGCGAGGGGCAGACAGATAGATAGAGAGATTATTAGAATAGAGAGACAGACAGACAGAGAAACATGTGGAGACACACAGATACGAGAGATTTCGTTCGTTGGATTTCTAATACTGAAGTAGTATAATACAAGTACGTAGCAGCATAATGCACACAGATCTAGAGTGCTGAGAGTTGTCGAATGCGGCGAAAGCAGAGTGTAGTAGACACTACTGTACAGGAGTGAAGCAAAGCTGATTTGTTGTAATGCTGCCTGACTGCTTGCCTGTGTGCAATAATGAGGTGAACTCATAAAACAGTGAGCCGAAAAAAAATATGATTAAAAAGCCGATTCACAAACCAGGTAAAGACAGGAAGAGAAGGAAAGATATGTGCGCATATACCCTGCACCCGTGCACGCACACACACACACAAACACAGAAGGGAGTTGATAGGTGGAGAATTGCGAAAACAGGGGACCCAGTGTGCCCTCAAGGAGATAAAGAGATAGAGATAGATAGAGAGATATTTTTGGCACAGTATATTCGGCCCTGGTTTAAATATGGCTTTGGAATTTATTTTTCATTGCAATCAGGTTCGGCCTCATTTCTCTGTGCTGTGCTAATGAGTCCACAAAGGACGAAACAGTTCTGTCCCCAGATTGGATAGATAGATAGATATAGATGAAGATAGAGAGAGAGAGAGAGAGAGAGAGAGAGAGAGAGAGAGAGAGAGAGAGAGAGAGAGAGAGGAAAGAGAAAGACATAGGCAGCTGTCTTGGTCATTATCATCCGATGTATTCCGTGTGGCGTAGACCAGGTGTGCATTGAGAATCCTTTCACAAGGCATCGCAATAATTATAATTACGGAATTGGGCAGTAATGCTGTGCTAGTCTTGATATGTTTCACTCAGGTCATGTCTGATATCGTTGGCATAAGAGAAAATCAGTGGGTGTACATCCACTGCACTTGCAAACTTGCGTGTCTCTCTTGCGACGAATGCACATGGTACTTGGTGTCTGTGTCAATTGGCTCATTCTGTGGGCGAGTGGTCACTGCCTGAGTTCAATGTCGGAAAAGGTAAGTAGCTCTAGAGTGCAGTATAGAGAAAATTATGCCAAATACGCGGTCATTAGGAGAGACTATACCAGCAACTTCGACTCATATACTTCAATATCTAATTGGATCTGTACACAAGACGCTGCTCAGTGGTATTGGAGTTGTGGTTGATCAACAGCGTATCTTTTAGGTACATGTGGCATCCATTGGTCTTGTGTGAGTGACACTAGGCATGAAACCGGACAACGTTGGTGAAAGGTTTCATTACCAAAGAACTTGATTGGTTTGCCATTTAGCTTCCTGTGTGGCGTCACATCGTTTCCGTGGACTGGTTTAGATTCTTGCCCACGTTTCCAGGAGTCCAGCCAATTAATAGCAGCCGAAGCTATTTGAATAGCCAGATTATGTCTTCTTATCTGCTCTGCACTCCATCCGCTTGCATCAGTAAGCAATGCAAACACGTTGTCCCCTGCACAGGCACGTGACTTCTGCAGGGAATTCCGGGAGAGCGTAAAGTGGCAGGACGAATTACCGTGAAGTTGCCACATGATCTGAGTACAATCGTAGCACATCAAGTCTTGACACTACTAGTACTTGTGACATGACCAATTCTGCTATGCTCTAATGCAGACTAGCAATAAGAGGCATTTGTCAGATACTAGTAACCATGAGGTACTGAGATGATTCTCTTCGGCAAGCCACCCACTCTGCAAAAAAATGCGCCAAAATTAATAATCCGTCATCTGCCTGCTCCAACTTGACTGTCCTCCTGACAAGTGAAAACCGCTGGCGTTGTCCGGCCATAAACACCATTATTGGCATCAATCCAACGCATTAATCCAACGCCTTCGTTGCTCCTCATCTCTGCAGCTCATACCAATAGGTCTGGCACGTCGAAAAACTAACATACTCGGAGCTACAAGCTACATTTTCAGAGACAGGGAGTTGCAAATGGCAAGAAACCCAGATTCCCTTCACCTTTGGCATCACGAGCAATGACCATTTATCAGCCAGCAATGTTTTACTAGAGCAAAGGCGCTGGCGGGAACAGAAACAGCAACGTTTCTTTCTCAGCAAAAACAAATAAAAAGGAAAGGAACAAAAAAGGATCAACACCATGTACCAGGGATTCGTCCATACCTGGTACCCAGGCCAGGTGTGTACTACCCCTGGAAAGGCTCTCCCACAGATTGCAGTACAAAAGCCACGGCCAAGTGTCCCACTGAGGTGCGGTCGCTTGCCCGGACCGCTGGGACGCGGACACCTACGAAGAGCAGCCTGTGACGTTTATTTTTTATGACAGAAAATCCGCAAAAATAGTTGGGCTTGTCCCTTTAGCCTTTCGCTGCACGGATGATGTCAAGGTACTAATTACCCCCCCCCCCCCCGGTTATCATAATTATAGCTATAATCTGATTGGACTTCAAAATAATTTACTCGGTCCAAAACATGTTCACTGTGACTTCCTCAACCTTCTGAATACTTTTCAAGAGAATTCACAATATCAACCAAATTGCAAGGGAAATTCGCCTCGTTGGGCCATGCTAAATTAATTAAATACGATATCAATAATATGCCAAATTGGAAATGATTTAGGGCTGAAACGATCATTCAATAACTCCTACCGATCAATCAATATCATTAAAACGATCGATATTATGATTTGTTATTGGAGAAATTCCACGGTACGTTTGCTGCTACGTTAGAAATTTGTGGCCGTGCACTGTTGACATCTGCAGACATCTGGCTGGTTTTATCAACATGAACTAGAAAATTTCATGTTTTTCTCAGCAGAGCAAAGAATCCTGTCATCACCCTCTGGCAACTGCTCTTATCTCAGACCTCTCCGGGGGCCACAAACAGTGAACCGAAAAGACAAAGTCTTCTCTGCCGATCTCTTTCAAAGCCCGGCACAAATCAATTTTACTGCATTTGGAAGTACATGATTGTACTCGTATTCACCATCGGATGGAGAGCAAGGGCTCAGTAGAATACTGTCCGGATATGCATGTCTAATAAATCGCTACTGACTCAGCACTCATTTTGAACACCGTACGATTATCGATTGCACTCTTAACGATCGATATGCGAGTTTTCGCCGGCCATAATTGTTTCAGCCCTAAAATAATTGCCAAAGCCGAACTAGTTACACTGAGTTACAATGGACGAGTCACAGTGTACTGTATGCATTTTGTATACTGGCCAGTGCCGGAGTGCCGCTTCACAGATCACGATTGCCTAGTATCTTATAACGGGTTGTCTGTTTATCAGTATGATAGCTTACTTCTCCACTGAGGTACACTGTGTATGCACAAGCAGACTACAACAAAACCAGCCGAAGCGGTGGTAGTGTAACAGCCTGTCAACAGCAGGATTGCTAACAGCATAGCAATCCGATAGTCGATACTTGCTTCACTTCACTGAATGCGATAGAGGCGGGTTAAAAGATAAAGGCAGCATAATAATTCAATGACTATCTCAATTACGCGAAGCTGCAAAAGATCCTGTTCTAAAGGAGTAATCTATAAAATCGGATGTGAAGATATTTGACTCATTTGAGTATATAACACTTGAGACTGTCACTATTGAAACATCATTACGGATATACATGTATGTAACATTATTCGGGTATGATTTTTTCACAGGCATGATTGCGCATCAAACACAAACATTACCATCTTACTTCTTAGAGGGTGAGCCAGTTGTTAGGAATAGGTTTGCTTGCCAAATTTAGGTTGGTGTACCCCGCGACTATCCCGCAGTACATGCACAGCTAACACACAGTGGCACCGTCACTTGGATGGGACGCCGCCGGCTCAGGAACTCCACTGATCAGCTACACCACAATTTCTGGCACAACGCTGGAGCCATTCACGCAGGGATTCGGCTTGGAACAGCACACGCAGCAGCCATGCATCAGCTCACAGACAGCTTCACTTGGATTGGACGAGCAACCGGGACACTCCTGTACTTTCTCCAGATGGTGTTCCCCGCCGACAACATTTTGGTCATTGGCAGATATATCGGCTTGCCCTTCTTCGCCTAGTTGAAACTCTGTGTGATTTCGCACACACAGTCCCTGCGGCCGAGTAGGATAGTAAGCCTGCAAGAATGTGCAGGTTGGAGAGAAGTTTGCACAGCAGTTTACTCTGTCCGGATAGCTCAGGGTGTTACAAGAGCAGTTAGCCCATCCAGAACAAAACGCTGTCTTGTGCGCTGGGGCCGCAGCACTACCGCTGTGGCTACTGCTGCACACGGCTCTGTCCTCTTCGGTGACTGACGTGAAACTCGAGTTCCAGTTCTGGCAGCAAGTCAGATTGCAGCGGGACGCGTTGTAAAAGAGGAACAGATCTTCTGCTAATGCTTTTCCCTCGTCACTGTCCACGCTACATCGGCAGCAAACTTCGGGGTAGCTGTTTTCCAAGCCGCCGAGCTCATAGTCATTATCCCATCGAACCGGACTGGTCAATGCTGGTAACGAACCAGACCAATTGACCAAGACTACGACGGCCAACAGGAGTTTGCCATTTTGACCCATTTCGTATCCCTGAGCTTCAATGAAGAGTTAGACTGAGACACAGGATTATGATTCCAATCGCCACAAAGCTCGCTAGTTGAGACAGACACGGCGTTTTCCTCTCCAGGAGGCAGGACTCTGCTGTCGCCCAAAGTATAATTGATTTTTCGCGGACTAATTCCTTCCTGAAATCGATACAGTACAGCTTTTCCCGTTTATTTATCCTGGTGCCACACCGTTCCAAGACGTCAGGCATACGCAATCCGAATCATCATGATCATACTGACTGTAACCAGGGGGTACTACAAAAAAAGTAACCCACACTCTTCGATTACCGGGGGTAGAGTCTACTCTCTACGTGTAATTGTAATCTACAAGCTGCTCTTTGACACAAGTAATTATTATTGACGCACCAAAGACAGCTATGAGTTATGGCTGCAGGCAGGACCGGCTTACCATTTTTGCGCATGTAGTGACGGGGACGCAAGCTGCATGACATTGGCACCCCAAAACTACAGAAGTAATAGTATTAGTAATACTGCAACTAAGTAAGTTAGTGCAAGCCGGAAAAAGCCAGCACCCGTTTAACTAGAGATTTGCAAGTACAGCCTGAGGCCAATTTACATCTGGAAAAGTTAGCGCGGATTGGGGACAATTTCATTTAATAGGGTTTTTTTGCAACAGTTCTGCGCATTGCATGCACGGGCTTACTGTTGCAGCTTCACACCCATCGCGCAAAGCACGAACCCTTCCAGCCGCTGATTACAAAGGTTTCCAGTCTCATGATTACAGAGTCAGGAGAACGACGTGACCGTGTTATATTATACTTTTGATACGCTGTGATTATTCACCAGACACTTGTGCAATTATTCCTGTCAGCTGCCTCTTGCATGATAGAGTAGAATGTGAGAGTAAAATAATTTAGAACTCATCCTAACAATCTGTGAACAGAGCAATTCAGACAAGAGAAACGTGAACACGATATATGAGCCTTCTTCTAATTCTGGCTATAGAAATAAATATGCTACTGTATTCAAAGCTCATAGTTTTCTGTGCTGAGGAAATAGATTTTGAAGGACACTTTCAGCGGTGCAAACAATATTATGCCAATATAAATATCAGGATAAAATCAACGCAATCGATCATCGATATCTCTGGGTTCTAAGTTCTGCTGAGGTAGATAAGAAATAACATCCAAACAATCATGTATGGCTCAACGGGCATAGCGAGTGGGCAGACAGATCCATGCCCTGACCGCCTCCCACCCTTCCTTCCAAGGTCCTCCGATGGTTCACAGCCTCAGTTCTGTTTGCCCTTCTCTGCTTTCGGTGACTTCTGGTAGCTCCTCTGGTAGAACATGGAGAAGAGAACGAACAAGCTTCCAAGGTACAAGAACATGATGACCTTCCACTCCGCGGCGTGATCACATTCTGCCCAGAAGCTGTAGATGATGATCAGCAGGCCAGCCAAAAACTGGATCTAAACGCACACACAGCACAGTGCGCGCACACGCACACACACACACACACACACACACACACACACACACACACACACACACACACACGCGCGCGCGCACGCACACACACACACACACACACAGCACAGCACAGTGCAGACACAAGTTCAAAACACATAGACCGGCAGCAAAAGAGTCCGCAGTGGCAATACACACATGCAGTGCCCATGCCGCCACCATTCACGACTTGATTTGCCAGGAACAGTCACCACCCACGGCTGTACTGGATATACTGCAGCAATGCCATCTTCAATGCCCGACCCGCAATGCTACTCACCAACTGCATCAGGGTCAAGTATTTCTTCCACCAGAGATACTTCTGGAACTGCGGTCCCAAGCCAGATACAAAGTAATAGGAGTACATCAGAAAGTGGATGAAGGAATTGAAGCATGGCCAGAACCAGGCTAGGAACACACGCAGGAATATAAGCACATAAACAATGGAATTAAATTAGGTGCAAGCCGGGCTTCGATCTACACACATACCCCCCCCCCCCCCACACACACACACACACATGCACATCCTCAGACTCGCGGGCACACACACACACACACAACAACAACAACAACAACAACAGCAGCAGCAGCAGCAACAAGATAAACTCATGTGTCCGAAACAACGCACTTCACGATCAGGAAGCAAAACCGAACGGCTCAGGAAATTCCTGTGCCCGATTCCACAGTCTGCATTTTTGGAGAATGGCCCAAGCCATTCAGCATGTCGGAGTAAAGTGCTACCACACGAGCTCAACCGACATTCGGATATTAGTTCACGTCAAAATTGCTAGCTTTTACAATTTCCCACATCTCTGCCAATTCAGGGCTGACAGAAGCTGGAAGAGCAACTAATCGTAACTCATGCAGTTGCTCACCCAGTTTTCATTCGGTTGACTTTATTTGCACAAAAACAACAATAGGTCCGAGTGACAATACATGTAGGTCGAGTAGTACAGCTGTAATTCTAGAGTCGTGGTCAGAGATATCCGACCCGCGCGTCAAAAGTAGCGCTGCCTGTCTATTTCAATGGCATCATGCACGGTCCAAAACCCATCCAAGGGCCGCATGGGCCTTGACACTGCCGCAGTTCCGGCTCATGAGATTTCTTTGGCCACAAATGTATTAACAAACCCCAAAGAGAATATAGTACAATGAGCACACCCTACACCACACCAAGCTCAATGGGAAACTATAGCACTGCAGTACGCAAAGACTAGCATAATCACGCACGACATCATACTGCACTATGGTTCGCAGTTCACGGTACAGTAAAACCTGGTTTAAGCGACCACGCCACGCTGCAAGCAAAAGCGGTCGTTAAAGCCAGGCGGCGTTCTTTAGAACCAGGTCCCACAGTGTCTGTGTAGAACTGTTGGTGCATGGAAAAACGGTCGTTAAGAGCAGGTGGCCGCTACACACAGAGGTCGCTTACACCAGGTCTTACTGTAGAACATGCAACTTACAAATTCCACCCGTGTACCACCTGGCCGCCATGTAGCCCACCACGAGAACGACAGCATGGTGATAGACGTGCAGGAAGGTCACCTGATTAGTCTTCTTGCGCAGTATGAAAATGATCTGGACGTGAACAGCCACAACAGGTAAGTGAGCGACGACCATCTAAGACCAGCGCAGCACATCGCGTTGCCAATTGCACGCACGTGTATACCCAAAGTAGATCTCTTTACAGTTTTAAAATGTCACTGCTACCACACTACACTCATGCTTCATTCATGCGTGCGGTCCGGGACCAGGCACTGCCTGAAACATATATTCGAATGAGTACCGGCCAAATATACGGCATTATGACGTCACTATTTCCACAAAAAGTGATAAAAGAGTGCTAGTAGCATATCCACTTCAACTCGCTCAAAGGGTAGACAGAATTACGTACACGCTACATCAGTGTTTGGATAACTGGGGTATGAGTGTATCAGCAATCACTAGAGTCATTTTCTCAAACTTTCACAAGTTCCTCAAATCTCACAGTACTCATGAAACCTAGGGCATTGGCGAAGGAAGGACGGAATATGATCAGCACAACATGATGCATGTATATACACCACAGGTGAAATACACATGTATAGGGGCTTCCATAATACACTAACATTGCTTTTCAGGGGCGTCGGACACATGATCATAATCATTACGGTATTGCCCAAGTACAACATCATCGCTTATAATACATGTACAATGATATTGAAATGGGAATGGGAGAAACTTCAAGTTCACTGTAAAGTTTCAACTGCGAAGTACCTGGTCAAAAGCGAAAAAAAAATGCAAACCTCGCCAGGACCGAACCGGGGGCATTGCTTGTCATGAGCAATGCTTTAACCAGCTGAGCTAAACCCAGACTGTTATTTTAATGATACTGGATCAGAATTTAGAAAATGTTAAAGGGAGTGCCCCAGACTGACATCTACGATGGTTGACCGCACCATCCTAAAATACCTTCCGAAAGTGACACCCCACATTTCATACGGACTACACCTCGGGGATCAACAGATTTGTTAGCTGATGGTATGTATAACACTACTTTGAATAAATTGTCCCTGTACCTTTTAGCTGTCATACATATCATCAGCTAACATACATACCAAAGTAAATTACCGTGTCTGAAAACTCAACGCCCTTTGATATGTAAGTCAACCAAATGACGGAAGCCAGCTGTGCAAGAGAAAAAAAATGCATACCCAACACACAGGCATTCAATCACAGAGGAGCAGCACATGCGGAACCACTCTTGTTCGTCGTGATCCTGAATTCCATTGCAAGAAATATGATTTTGCAGCGAAGATGCATCGTCACCTACATGTAGAATTAATTTCACACAGCACAAATAAGTCAAGCTCTACTGGCCATGGTCCTCACATACACACACAGGTAACTGGTTACGTAGCATTCACCCAAACTGCCATTTTCGAGCTCAGTCACAGGGAGGTTACAGTCACTGATCATCAGTGCACCTTTCCCAGATTTGGCATTTTGTAGTTGCAGTATTATATAATTCTGATTTGTATGCCCCGGGTGCTCGGATGCTGTCTCTTACAGGTCAATAGATTCAATCCTGTCACTCAGCATTGAAGGAGTCCGGATGGATCGTGCTTCACCGCAATGAATCACAGGAGAACCCCGATCAGCAGAAAGTCGCGTTCCTCGGAAGCCTACGGTAGTGCAGAACCATCTCCTAGTGCACGCACACTAAGCTCTAAGCACATCACCATGCACGGTAATCAGAGCTACTTACGCGGACGGCTTTCGGATCGTCGCTGTAGTCTATACCAGTGCAATAGCGGTTGTCAAGGTGATAGGTGACCAGATGTAGCTGCATAGAATCGTAGGAGAAATTCACCACTGAGAATCAAATAAGGTCATCCACCCCATTACGCTTAGCATGCATCAAATTGATTGTTTCTCCGCCTAGCGCTCAACCTGTATCTGCGCGTCACGACATATCGGCATGAAGCAATAACATGAAGAATCACAAGCATGCATTGCATTGTGCAGTGGTGTTCTAGTGGCATGAGCCATAAAGTACCTCCGTCATCATATAGCCGCTCCACACAACCATCAGCAGATTGTAACCGGCCATCAACCCACGCAGTTCAAATGGCTGTCGGTTCTTCATCAATTTTGGCCCGAAGAAAACAGCCAGCAAATACACCACCAGCCACACTATCATTGGCAGCGGAGAGCGTACTAACGGCCAATCAATACTTCTTGGATCTGCAACACACAGACACAGACATACATGCACAGACACACACACACGCACACACGAGTGCACAGACACACACAAACAGACACACCGTGTGTGTGTGTGTGTTCCTTGAACTGCAGACCTAGCAGTGTGGTGGAATCAATAGCAGTATTGGGGAACGTTTACGCTCTCCGACGTAACATGTACATGATACATACAACTCGGCGTAGCCAGTGACTGACAAAACATTCGTTACATCGTAACGAATGACGTAACGAATGAGCTTTGGAACAATGCTTGTTAATTATACGCATTCCCGCGTTGAAGTGTAGCAGCAGTATGCTGCGTCCACAGCTTCGCTTATGCAGAATGGCTTGGGTGAGAGGAGAGGGGAGAGAAAGCAACAAGGCAACCAACATCTATGAGATTGGTCACAATAACACGAAGAGAACCAACCTACATATGCATGATTGCACAAGAATGGAGACGACCAATTATAATGGCTATAATCATTGTGCCACAAAACCGGTACACAGGAGATCTGACGACAATGTAACGAAACATAAAACTCAGTTACTCAATACAGGTTCCACTAAATTACAAGAGAACAATGCTACAACGTTAGAATTGCCGCTAAATTATCGCAAGTGTAGAGAACGAGTCCAATACAAATGAAAACCATGAACAGACTGTCCCGAAGTTATTTTGGGAACAAATTGTACTACATGACTGTACTTGCTGATACTGACGCTGAAGGAACACGAATTTGAGTTGAATACTCACGAAGTCTTGTACATGCACATCATTATGCGCCGGTGTTGTGGAGTAAGCAGGTACGTCAGTCACCAATCCAGCTTCAGCTCCACGCTCGCTTCAGCAGAATGTTGCCCGCGTTTGCTTTGCCTCCACACGGATACACGACCAGCGCAGAGTCCCGCAGCTCCATGGCCGTAAGGTCTTGATATTCGCCGTTAGCGCCGTCAAGTCTCAGTCCACCTCTCACACCAAGCCGCCCTATAAAAATCGTTCTCTCTCCATTGGAGTGCTCCCCAGTTGCGCGAGGAGACTAGAGAAATTCCTCCGGTGAGCGAGGAAGAAGAGCGGAGTTACCCAACTCAACCCAACTATGCTTGTTTAGTATGAGTATTAAGTGCAATACTGTAAGGCCAGTAATGTTACTAACGATTTAACGAATTTGAACAATTCGTTAACATTTGAAGTCATTACGTGCAAAACCATATGTGTCTGTACAGTCATTTGCCGGTTTTGAGACAGAATTCGTTAGCATTTTTTCACCTCGCTAACCTACACAAATCCGGAGATCGTTAACATTAATTGATGTTAAAATATCTGGTCTTACAGTAGGTCAATCCTGGCTGTAACAGCGTACCGCAAACCATGCATTTCAGTTATAACTAGGGGTCAAACGGGTGTACCGGGTACCCGGGTACCCGCCCGTTAATCTCAGGTACCGTTAGTAAAAGGGTACCCGTTTGTAAAAAAAAAAAGAAAAAAAAAAAAAAGGTGATCCTATCGTATTCCAAGACTCAAAATAGGAGTGCGGATACTCTTTTCCTTTTTCCTGTGCATTCCCGCTTTCGACTTTATCAGGCAGGAGCAGGCTGAAAGACAGACTTGACAGTTGTTCTCTCCACTCTAGTGCAAGTAAAAATCCTCGTGCTGGAGGTTTTTGATTGTGATGTGAGAAAATGCAAGACTTGAAACTCGTTCGAGGTGGCAGCTGAGTAACTAGAAAGTTACGATGGTTCTCCGACATCGAACCTGCCACAGTACTTGATGAACTAGTGTCACCAGGCTGAGTGACCAGTCGGAGTGTCACAAACGGTGATGTCCGTAGGTGGTAGCTACTTCGAGAAGTACATGTATGATACTCATGGTTGTAGTTTGTTCCTTCAATCGACGAGCTGAAAAGTAGTTCGAAATATTGCATACAAGATTACGGATTTGTGAAGATTCATTTCACAAGTTCAACAAGCTAGCAGTAGCAGCTAGCTGGCCAGCAGCACATCAGCTGTGTCAGGCACCCCAGCTAGCTATGGGCGCGAACATCTTCTGAATGCAACGAGTACCAGTTCTCTGCGAACATAGCAAATAGGACTGCGCGAGATCACGGAAGTTTTGCTAAACCACTCTGTCCTTGCATGGCTTGAATCACATCGATCTGCAGTTGATTTGCGTACATGTATCAAAATACATGTAGCTTGTAGGACCATCTACATGTACGATTGTAAGTTACTGCCTGTGAAGTTATGTACATGGGCAAATGCACGGATGACATTCATTTGGAACCTTCATTGCCATAATAATAATTATGATACACGAATCAATTGCGAATAATAATGTAGTATCAAAATACAATCTGAGAATATACAAATTAAAATCATTATTTTACGTGAGAAATGCGCAAAAAAATAATATGGCTGCTAGAGGGTACCCGTTAACCCGCCCGTTAAGAAAATTACCCGTTCGTTAGTTAAAGGTACACCCGTTTGACCCCTAGTTATAACAGATACCCGTCTACCCCTGACTTCATCTTGTGAAAGAGGATGATCTGCAGAAATGTGGAAGTCATCAGGTTACCACAAGGCAACTTGAACTGGATAAACCATGACAGCAACTTCACACTTCAGGTTTAGAATGCTGTTGTCGATGGCCGCAGGGCGGAAGGTAAGGATATTGCATGCACGTACCTGTATGCCGGACCGTGGAGTGAATGAGGAGTCTGAGAAAGACCACCTTTGAATAGTTGGAAACTTGGAATATATTGGCAAGACTGACTCATACAGCTCCTCGAAATGATACCGCGGGCCCTGTACTTTCCTAAGTGCTACATGCTCTACCACATACATTCATTTCTACATTGGGAGGTGGAAATGGGCCATTCATTTTGCGATGAAGTAGAACACTAACGGGAAGAATAGCGATTGTGTCAGCAGTTGCATAGGAACCGTGTTCAGCAATGTGAGAAGACTCAGTGTTGATCTTGCAACACACTGCCTCAAGAGAGTCCAGTAGCCTGTGCGAAGATGCAGCATCCAGCGGGCTGCCACGGGTTCTTACCTGGCTTAACGTGCCACGTGTTCTCCCAGAACTGGAGCGCGCCATCAAGTAAAGTTTCCGCCATGGCGGAACAGGTATTTTGGTGGTAGTGCTGCAAAACAGAGCAGCATACATCCAAGCCACATGGACAACAGGCGTTTAGACAAAGAAACGGGAACTTATGCTGCAAAGGCTATCTGCGTACACATGGTACCGTCACTGCCTATTATGAGCTCAGTTGCATTAGTTTCTTACACAAAAAATAGTATAACGCCGGTCATCAGTCACACCACCGGGACTCGAACCAGGGACCTTGCTATTCGCGAGCAATGCTCTAACCAACTGAGCTACAGTATGAAATTGCTAGTATAGTGTATTAGTGATACATAGAAAGTCAGTGTGCGTACAGTACAGCTAAGACAATGGTTCAATCACACCTGCCACGCACTGCACTTCTGCAGCCCAGCTATTGTAGTCTTGTAAAGTAAAGTTAGCCGGATTCGCGGCCGCATCACGTCTCGTGTTTAGGAACACAAGCAAATACATTCACATCGGCGGGCCACCACTTTGCCCATATATCCATAATATTATATCCTCAGTGTCGAATGCAGACCTCACAAGTGAGTCAGGGGAGAGGGGATAAGTCTCTCAAAAACCGGGCGCGTAAAGGCCCTATAACCCCATAAACCGCATCCTTGTTTCCCTCACACAAAGCAAGTGAGTACTAGTACCAATTCACCGTGGGTGTCGGCACCGTTCATTGCATGAAAAGTGGTACTAGCCCACATCACCACGATTGAGAGAGTACTTAACACACTCCATGTAACCAGCGCAGGTTTGAACTCGCAATCTCATGATTCGCAGGCAATCCTACAAACCAATCGGCTATTCGCGTTGGTTGTGTAGGCACTTTAATAATGACACCACTTATGTTTTTTCCTTGCATCACTCACTTCCATCAACGTGAATCCAGGCGTGACAGACCATCATACCTAGGTACCTGCACACTTGCTGCCGGTCTTGATAATAAAATGATTGTGATTGATACTTCCTCGACCTATGTTATTAAATTTTGCTATTGTTCGTAAGGCCACCCTTTCTTTTTTCGTTGTTTAACCCTTTGTCCTTTCGCCCATACTTGAACCGTACACCTGTGTACGGTTCAACCCATGCATGTTCAAAGCGACCTGGAAGCTACGCGGATCACCCGATCCACATGAAAATTCACGTGCACACAGCCTATGCTATGTAGAGGATGATACACGGGTCGCTGGGGCTAGTTGCCATTTGAAAAATTTCAGGAAATCAAAGTCGAAGTTTGCTTGCGCCGTGACTTCCGACATGGCAGCACGCAGGTCGCTTGATGCAGATGAAGTGCTTGTTTGAGGATAGCTGGAGAGACCCAAGCGACAATCCTATGTCCTCTGATGAAGAGAACGAACTGGACGAAGCCTTAGTAGAAGGTGTTGATTCTGATTTTGATGACGACCGGATTATGATGTCGTAACCGTCGACCCAACTGTCGGACATGTCGACCGCTCCGATTTGAGCGCAGGATCGGCAGAACAGCACTCGCGTGGTGAAGAGAGTGTACCACCGCCGTGTCTTACCCGTCGTGGAGCAGCAGAGTCAGCTAGAATGCCGCAGCACGTGGAGCGGGAGCGTAGTCCGATCCCAGAGAGGTCCAGATCTCCGTCACCTGCGCGCCGTCAAACTCAGGGTCGACAGCCGCGCAGAGCGAGCAGAGTAGCCGCACGGGGCCGCAATGTCGTGCATGTCGCCACTGGCACTCCTCTGGCTAATGCTCCGTGTTTGCCCAACATGCCAGAGGTGCTACTCCAGGTCATACTTGTACAAATTGCACATTATTATACATAGGAAAGAACTTGAACTTTGAATTTTGCCGATTTTTGCCAAAAAATCATTTTTGATACTCTTGTTTAGCCACGCCTATCTGAGGAATTCAACCCAAACTGCATTTTTAGTTCACAATTATCATAAGCTTTCAGGAAAACATAAAGTGTACATACAAAATATCAGCTGCTTGGGAATGGTGAGTGGATTTGTTGAAGCAGGTACCCCTCACATACATTTTGGGCAAAAGGACAAAGGGTTAACGTCCGCGCCCGCGTACCTTTTTGCCTCCGACCGGAAAAAAAACAAGAAAGTAGTAGTACCAATAATATGCGAAGTTGTAAATGCATGATTGTGTAGTTTCACAGTGTGCCGATCATGACCCTTAAACTTATCATCTTGCCTCCCGGGCATGCCTTTGTCTTGTGTTCTTTTTCTTTTTTTTGTTGGCTTTTAAATATCGTACGGTGTGTGCCCATGTAAAAATCCAGATGTAATGAATTCATGACATGCTAACTCCATGCTATGTACCTGTTTTGTTGGATTCATCAGGCATGTGCTCCAATGTACCATCAAAGAGTGTTGTTCTATGCCTGCAAGTGCCGTTAGAACCAGAAATATTGTATATATCACATGCTTTACTGGTCAAAAAGTTTGATTGGGGTTTCCAGTTTTTGGAATGGGCTTGTTTTTTCCGCCCTCCCGCGTACCTTTTCGCGAAAAAAAGGACGTTAAACAATGAATTAACAAAGGGTGGCCTAATGGCAAATTTCAAGCGCAGTAAACTAATAGTGGATATCCATCGTTGCCATAACTAGCTTCTTGCACGCGATGTTGTGTGCGGAATGCGCTCGACCCATTCGATTCGTGGTTGCCTGAAAAGCAGCAGCTTTGACACCAACCCAGGTGTACCACGTGTAGTGTAAATATAATTTCGGAACCTCTTTAGCAATATTTTGCCTCGAATAATCTACAAGAACTCACCGCAATGTAGAAGATCCACACGCTAGCTTGTCTCGTGTTTCGGAAGAAAGTCCACACCGCCAGTTGCTATTTGCAAAGAAAACTAACTTTGAGCAGCGCGACAACTAAGCTTGAAAAAAGACTAGTGTCGTAGCGATCGACCAAGATTCCGTCGACGTCCCGACTCCGTTACTATTACAGTCATGACTGATTGTATCCTCCACATCCGACGACGACGCACATGCATGATGGACCATTGATTTGGCCGTTTGACTGGGGAAAACAAAACCGTCGAAAGGCATACATACTTCGCGTATTTCTGACCGTAGTGTGGTGACTTGAATCGTGCATGCCCGGGATCGGGATCGACCGAGTGTTCATGTAATGGTGTTGACGGCCGCTACGGACAAAAATTATTATACAAGACTCTTGATCTTCACAAGATTTTTCAGCTTCACGTGCTGAGCTCGGTCTCGCCATGGACTTACCCCGTGACACGACCATGGCGCGACCCAGCTCAGCACGTGAAGCTGAAAAATCTTGTGAAGATCGAGTCTTAATTCTTGTATAATAAATAAATTATGTGCATGTGGTCTACACAGATACTGTCTGTGCACGTGTGTGTGAGTGTGACAGCAAATACAAAGGATCAGTTGGGGAAGTGAACTGCCTGAAAAGAGAAAAAATCGCCAGACCCACCAGGACTCGAACCTGGGACCCTGCTTGTCATGAGCATTGCTCTAACCACTGAGCTAGCCTATAGTATGGGACCAGGCCGTTCTCCCAATCCGTTCAAAAATTAATCACTTTTCGTTCACTTCTGGTAGGGTCCAGAAACTGACCGTGGTTAGTCCCCTGCCCTGGGGGAGGGAGAAAGACCCAAGTGCCATCAGTATGTGTGGCACGTGTTGTGAGCTGCATTTGGAGTGGAAAACTTGTCAGCGCCTTCTAGGTTCGGCCTGGTCCCATAGCTCAGTGGTTAGAGCAATGCTCATGACAAGCAGGGTCCCAGGTTCGAGTCCGGGTGGGTCTGGCGATTTTTTCTCTTTTCCGGCAGTTCACTTCCCCAACTGATCCTTTGTATTATTATTATTATTATTATTATTATTATTATTGTGGAAAGGAAAAGGACATATGGATGCGAGAAGAGTAACTCTCCATCACTGTAACTGGATACTATAATACAGTCAGAAAGTGCAATAACTAGGCACAAAACTGACAAGAGTACTGAGACATCCGACGTCCTGACACCTAGCTTCAACACATCTCCGTAGCGCTAACCGACAGCCTTCCAACTTGGAAGGTTCAAGGTTATGGAAATACCAAAGAGGGGAAGGCAAGCGCAACGAAAACGAGCAAAAAGCTACAGTCCCAACGGAACAAAGAATGTCGATTGTTACTGAACCGTGTGACGAGACCAGTACGATACAGTAAAACCTGTGACTACCGACCACCCCTTGGTGCCAGCAAAAGCGGTCTTTAGTAGCAGGTGGTCTTTAGTTAGAGGTTTGCACCGTGTGACCATATATAGATCCCATCCTGTCCCTCCCATGCTTCTCCGTCTTGACCATTACTTTTCTTCTTTTATTCACCATGGTTGGTTAACACCCACATCTCCCGTACTGGCTGATTTTCTTCTCATGCCATGAGGTGTTGTCTATAATAATAATAATAATTATTATTATTATGAACTTAGAAGTTGCGACTTCGGCGGTAATAGTCAGGAAGTTGGTTGCTCCACCGAGGAGCACACGCTTCTTGCCGAACTTGATACTTGACTGACTCACGACTGCCATCCGGAGCACACGAGGAGCACGTCGCACCTTCCGCTCGGCAAACCTGAAAGAAAGCACCACTCCCTGCTCAATACACAGTGTTTTGGGGAATTCACCCCTCATCAGTTGAGCTTGAGTAGGCTGAGGAAGATTGTGCCTGAAAAGCACCACTTATATACTGCTCTCCAGGCCAAACCATCACCAGGGATACAAACTTACAGAGACGCTTTGTTTCCAGCGCGACAAACACCTCGTGAAGCCCCAGGTAGCAGCGTGAGTCAGAGTCGCTCATGGAGTTGTGCTGAACAGACGTTGAGACCCAGTATAGCTATTCACAACGCTGTCACCTCCAACAACTAGTCGCACGTCCGCGTGAGGGACAACAATACGAACTTAGAAGTTGCGACTTCGGCGGTAATAGTCAGGAAGTTGGTTGCTCCACCGAGGAGCACACGCTTCTTGCCGAACTTGATACTTGACTGACTCACGACTGATGAGGGGTGAATTCCCCGAAACACTGTGTATTGAGCAGGGAGTGGTGCTTTCTTTCAGGTTTGCCGAGCGGAAGGTGCGACGTGCTCCTCGTGTGCTCCGGATGGCAGTCGTGAGTCAGTCAAGTATCAAGTTCGGCAAGAAGCGTGTGCTCCTCGGTGGAGCAACCAACTTCCTGACTATTACCGCCGAAGTCGCAACTTCTAAGTTCGTATTGTTGTCCCTCACGCGGACGTGCGACTAGTTGTTGGAGGTGACAGCGTTGTGAATAGCTATACTGGGTCTCAACGTCTGTTCAGCACAACTCCATGAGCGACTCTGACTCACGCTGCTACCTGGGGCTTCACGAGGTGTTTGTCGCGCTGGAAACAAAGCGTCTCTGTAAGTTTGTATCCCTGGTGATGGTTTGGCCTGGAGAGCAGTATATAAGTGGTGCTTTTCAGGCACAATCTTCCTCAGCCTACTCAAGCTCAACTGATGAGGGGTGAATTCCCCGAAACACTGTGTATTGAGCAGGGAGTGGTGCTTTCTTTCAGGTTTGCCGAGCGGAAGGTGCGACGTGCTCCTCGTGTGCTCCGGATGGCAGTCGTGAGTCAGTCAAGTATCAAGTTCGGCAAGAAGCGTGTGCTCCTCGGTGGAGCAACCAACTTCCTGAATAATTATTATTATTATTAACTGGTTTGAGGGAAAGAGACAAACGGGAAAAGTCTGAAGAAAAAATTGACTGTCACCACCAGGACTCGAACCAGGGACCCTCGCTTGTAGCCAGCGATGCTCTAACCACTGAGCTATGGTGTAGTCGTCATCCAAGCAGAGACCGTTCAATGTTTTCTTCAGACTTCGTAATTATTATATTTATGATATGTTTGCTGTTTGCGTTATGCAGAGCTCACTAACTTGTCAGTTTGAGCACTCTGGCAAGGCACGTTCGGGCCTGATTGGAAATTTTTATTTCCATTGCCATCAGGTTCGGCCTCATTTCCTCTGTGCTGCGCTGATGAGTTCAAAAAGAACGAAACAGCATGCTGTCCGCAGATTGAGTATGATTATGTTTATCAAAATGCAGCAATTTCCCAGGACTTGCGCAATGCCATTCTTAATCCAGGTCAAACAACACTTGGAGAGAAAGACGGAGAGATACAGAAAGAGAAAGAGAGAAGATTAATTTGTTTGCAGACATCAAATTCAGCTGCTACTTCTGAAGCCAGGAGTCAAACGTTCCCTGTGGAAGTTTCGTTTTGCGCTGAGCTTCAAATGTGTTCATGCGATCAATCGTACCGACTATCCTTGTTGTGACTTCTCGATTTTTGAACGCGATCCTTCAGCATCAGGACCTCGCGGGTCTGCTTTGTTTCTGGATTCCTTGACGCCATCGTCGATTCGTTTGTATGACTGGGGTGACAGAGCCGCTCAGTCTTCGTCTCTCCTCCGAGTAGTAACATCGAGCAGAGCGCGCTTTCGATGCGCTCTCCAAGCCGTTTCATAATTATCATGACATGTTTATTCTTGACAGCGCTTGAAATTCTGACAGGTGTATTGCAGTCCACACGGACTCCACAGTCAAAATGGCCTGCGCACATTTGTTCAGCTGTAGTACCGAAAGATTCCTTTCAGGATCATGGAAAATCAGCAAAATTTCAAGAAGGAGCTTCGAGCAACATTTTATTTCCTACATCGCGGTCGCTAGTTACGGGTCAAAAATCGTCTTTGGGACAAGAAAAGGCGGTCGCTGGTCGCGTTCAGCAGGTAGTCGCTAGTCACAGTGAATTTTGAATGTGAGACCGTCCGTGCCTGGCCAAGTGGTCGGTAGTACCAGGCTGGTCGCTAGTCACGGTGGTCTTTAGTTACAGGTTTTACTGTATTTGACAAAGCGGTCTACAATGGTCTACATGTAACTACAATTCGAAGCAGCAAAGCAGCACACCACCCAACTTGGGTGGGTCATAAATATCAAAGATAAGTAAAGAAAGGGGAAGCTTTGCGAAAACAAATTATACAAGCCGAAAGCCAAACTCCTACAGTACTCCTCATGCATGACGTTGTGATGGACTGTCGGTTAGCGCTACGGAGATGTGTTGAAGCTAGGTGTCAGGACGTCGAATGTCTCAGTACTCTTGTCAGTTTTGTGCCTAGCTATTGCACTTTCTGACTGTATAATTATAGTATTCAGTTACAGTGATGGAGAGTTACTCTTAACTCGTATCCATATGTCCTTTTCCTTTCCACATTTATTTATGGCTCAACATCCGAGTTTCAAATTATTATTATTATGATAACAGTATTATTTGAAGAAAATGTTGAACGGCCTCTGCTGGGATGACGACTACATCATAGCTCAGTGGTTAGAGCATCGCTGGCTACAAGCGAAGGTCCCTGGTTCGAGTCCTGGTGGTGACAGTCAATTTTTTCTTCAAACTTTTCCCGTTTGTCTCTTTCCCTCAAACCAGTTAATACAGTATTATTTATTCATATTTTAATAGGGCAGTCCCCACAGACTCAAGGTCTTCTTACGGGGTACCCTAAGAATGAAAGTAATACATGGCGAAATAGGGATGGCGATGCAGCAGTGCGGATATCAGATGGAGCACTATTCCATCTGTCTGCAGTCAAATAAGAGAGAGAAAACAGACCGTAGCGTGAATAAACTCGGGGTAAAACAAGACCATTGGAGGAGTGAAGGCGGGTCTGACATTGCAAAGTGTTAGCTGCTGAAGAGCGAAGTACAAAGAGGTCTCGAAGAAGGGCACTGGTCTGGCCTAGGACGCAACGGAAAACAATTGAGTACAATTTTAAACTGAAGCGGACTGAAATTGGCATTAAAGAGAAGCGTGCGAGAATTGGGGCTGAATGGGAGGACGAGGGGTAACCAAACACTATCCGTAATGCACGTTTACTGATCTTGATCAGG